GGCTGTTCTGGTCTCTGACCCCAGATAATTTTATTAGGGTGCACAAAATTTGGGGAACATAATATCACCACAAGGAGGAGTCCAGGAGAGTGGCTGCCTCTACCGGGTGGGAAAGAACAGCTGACAATTGAACAGGCAGGTGGTTTATATAGGATTTCTTAGGGACGGAGATTTTCCAGGGGAAGATTTTCTGTCCAGGGATTGGTTATTTTTTTCTACTCAGAGATTGGTTAGTTTCGTGGGTTAGGAGCAGAGATGGCCCTGATTTCAGAGCCAAATTGTGTTTCTTTCACTGGCCTTTCTTAGCTTTTTGGCTCTAATTCTAAGACCAGGGCATATTTCTTTCACTGGCTCTGATTCTAGGGACAGAGTGTTTCTTTGGCAGTGGTTTCAGAGTCAGGGAATGTTTCTTTGGTTCTGGGTTCAGGGATAGAGTGTTTCTTTCTCTGGCTCGGGTCCCAGATCTGGCTGTGTTTCTTTCACTGGTTTTGGGCTCCAGGGTCAGGGTGGGCTTCTTTAGCTGGCCCCTTTCCCTGCATTAAAGGCATACACTACTTCCACCACCACAGGCTTCAAACAGGTCTTTTTAAATAAGCTGAACTGTAAGGCACTAAATGGTAGCTGAAATGAGGATTTTGCATTCTTAGTAGAAATGTTTACAAAGGACATTTTGGCTACCTTCCTAAAAGATGGTAACCATTACAATATTGTATATAGCTAATGGTTATTAAACATAGTGTCTGACATATGCAATAATAATTGAGTTTAAAATTAACTGTCATTAAGTATGTTAAAGAGAACAAGAGCCAGACAAGGTATTATGTGCCTGTAGTCCTACTTGAGACCAAGAGTTTGAGATGTGACTCTACAACATAGCAAGGTCTTGATTCAAAAACTAAGAAAACTTGGAGGTTTTTTAAGAAACAGCATAAATTATAGGTCTCCAGGATTGAACTCAGGTTCAATTGAATTGAATTCAGCTTTGACAGGTATCTTTACCCTCTGAATTATCTTGCTACCTCTGAAGTTATTTTCATTCTTAAATTTGGAATGTAGGAAGACCCTGAGACACATGTTAAGATTTAGTTTTAATTAGGAGTATGAGCATGTGTGTGGGTGAGCAAAGGGTTCACATGAGTCTAGTTCCCCACGGAGGTCAAAAGAGGGTGTCAGATACTGTATTAGGGTTACCCCACTCCTGGTACCAAAATCTGTGTTAGTCAGGGTTTTCTAGAGCAGTGGTTCTCAACCTTCCTAATGCTGCAACCCTTTAATGTACAGTTCCTCATGTTGTGGTGACCCCCAACTCAAATTATTTGTGTTGCTCCTTCATAACTGTAATTTTGCTACTGTTATGGATTGTAATGAAATGTCATTACATTCTGGTGTTTTCTGGTGGTCTTAGGAGACCACTGTGAAAGGGTTGTTCAGCTCCCAAAGAAGTCGTGACCCACAGGTTGAAAACCACTGCTCTAGAGGCACAGAACTGAGAAAGAGTGTGTATGTGTGTGTATGGGGGATTTATTAGAATGGCTTTCAAGCTGTAGTCCAGCTAGTCCAACAAGAATCCAGTAATTGTTCAGTCCATGAGGCTAGATGTCTCATCTAGTCTTCAGTATATGCCAGAATCCTGAAGAAGTCAGTTCTAATGCCAGTGAAGGCACAAAGTAGCCAGCGAGAGCAAGCAGACAGAGAGAGTACGTTTCCTTGGTCCATGCCTGGTGTATAGTCTGCCAGCAGAAGGTGTGGCCTAGATAAAAGGTGGATCTTCCAACCTCAAAAGACTTGGATTAAAAGTGGGTCTTCCCACTTCAAATTATTTAAGAAAAATTCCTCAGCTGGATGGTCGTGGCACGTGCCTTTAATCCCAGCATTTGGGAGGCAGATCCAGGCAGATCCAGGCAGATCTCAGTGAGTTCGAGGCCAGCCTGGTCTATAAAGTGAGTGCCAGGACTGTTGCACAGAGACCCTGTCTTAAACAAAAAGGAAAACTTCTCACAGGTATATCTAGCCACTTGGGTTTCAGTTAATTCCAAATGTGGTCAAGTTGACAACCAAGAATAGTCATCACAGATCCCCTGGAGCTGAAGTTATAAGCAGCTGTGATCCACCCTACATTGGTGCTGGGAAACTAACTTGGGTCCTTTGCAAGAGAAGTATGTGCTCTTAACCACTAGGCCAATCTCACTAGTCCCTGGGCAGTTAATTTTAATTTGAAGAACACCAGGTGTTGGAGATAATTTAAAAGAATAAGTTGGCCAGTCTTTTCAGACTAAATTTAATTGAAGATCATAGAAAAATAAAGTAAGGTAAAGAAAGATAAATTATAGAGAATTTCCCACACAGCTTTCAGTAAATTGTGTGGAGTCATGGTGAGACCTGAGATTGAGTTAATGTAGTTTATTAAGTTGTATTTTTCTGCTCAGTGGATTTGTACAATATATGAGAATAATTTCGATTACCTTTAAAGAACTACTTACTCCCTATAGAATGTATGGTAGTTACTTTTCTTCTGCAGTATACAGTTTTCTCTAATGAATAAGTAAAAGTATTTATCCCTAGGCTTTCTGTGTCCATTGGATAAGACTAAAGGTTCAAAATGATGTCATGTTTATCTTGTAGTTGTGTTTGCCCACCAATAGGTATGCCACCAAGTAACCCAAGGAGACAAAGATCCTAATTTAAGGATAAAAACCTGAGTAATTAACGCTCTGTTTTCCTTATTTAAAAAACAATGTTTATCACTAAGAGTTAAAAGTACCTGCAAGTGCACTTTCTTTCCTAGGAGATCAGCCTTCTATTCTTAGGATATGTTCTAATCTAATAAACATCTGGCACAACAGATGCTAACAAGATGTAAATATCAGTTTGATATTCTTATAGGGACCTCAGCGGTAGGTAACATTCACACACAGTGCTTTGCTCAGTGATATTGGGAACCGTATGGATTTGTGCCTGATCCTGATCATTTTCAGCTATTTTGGAAAGCAGCAGAAACAAAGTGCCATATGCTATATATACCTTTGGGGACATTCCCCATGCACATACATGGTAGGTGGGTAGAAGCATCCTTGGATGCCACAAAACAGAAACGATAAACCAGGCTTGGATAAGTATTGTGTGTTTTCTCATATGTAGACTTTTCTTTTTCTTTTTTTTTTTTTTTTGGTTTTTCGAGACAGGGTTTCTCTGTGTAGCTTTGCGCCTTTCCTGGGACTCACTTGGTAGCCCAGGCTGGCCTCGAACTCACAGAGATCCGCCGGCCTCTGCCTCCCGAGTGCTGGGATTAAAGGCGTGCGCCACCACCGCCCGGCTGACTTTTCTTTTTTTAATGATATAAAATTAAAAGAAAAGAAAGACCCAAAGGATGTGGGAAAAGAAGAGAGTAATGAGGACATAAATATAATCACGAACATGATAAGCATGTGTGAAAATAGCACAATGAAACCCATTGTTTTCTACATTTGATATATGCTAAAAAGGAAAAATAAACCATCCTGTAAGTTAACACTAGGTGGGAAAGGGGTGAATACTGACTAGAGACAGTTACCTGGATCAGGAAAAGAGCTGCTAAAGGGACAAACAGTAGATACTTCAGGTATTGTGGGCCATGTAGTTTCTGTTGCAGCCGCCAGTTGAATGAAAGCAGATGTGGACAGTACACACTGGAACGTGTTGCCATCTTCCAGTAAGACTTTATTACAGTGAAATTGAGAATCTAGAGTCAAAAATGATACCAAAATTTTATTCAGGATACCACCTTCAATCTCCTTTCACTTTAAAAACATGGTTTTGGCCAGGTGGTGATGGCGCACGTCTTTAACTCACGCCTTTAATCCCAGCACTTGGGAGGCAGAGACAGGTGGAACTCTGAGTTCGAGGTCAGCCTGGTCTACAGAGCGAGTTCTAGGAAAGGCGCAAAGCTACAGAACAACCTTGTCTTGGGGAAAAAAGTAGTTTTGATGTGAATAGAAACTTACAATACATGTTTACCCTTCTGCTGGGTCTGCCGAAGTGGTTACTGTACTCTTCATACTAAGTGACGTGCTAGCTTCTCCCGCTTTCAGACTTCCGTCTCTCTCTATGTTATCAGTTGCATCACTGTTGTTTCTTGAAATCATGAAACTTGAGTGTAAGGTAAATTTTCATACAACAATTATTGCTCATATCTGAAATCTACTTGGTGGGTAAGTTTGTTTTATACATAATAATTAAATAAATTTCAAGCTGATTATTCTTTTGTTATAGCCAGAGTAATAATAATAAACTAAAAGAAAAAGCACATACGAAAAACAAAAACAAAAAAAGCATCTTTCGCCTGGTAGTGGTCATGCACGTCTTTAGTACCAGCATGCAAGAGGCAGAGACTTCTGGATCTCTTTGAGTTCAAGGCCAGCCTGGACTACAGATCAAATTCCAGGACAGTCATGGCTGTACAGAGAAACCCTGTCTCAAAAAGAAAAAAGAAAGAAAGAAAAAGAAAGGCACATGGGAAGCAGATTGGCATTGTGCTCAGACTTTAAGGAACTGATTGGTGCTTATAATCATGCAGAGAACAGCTACATGAAGCACATAATAATTGTCTAAAGAGTCTGCACTCAGTATGCACATACGTATAGACACAAACACATATACATAATTAAAAAGAATAAAAATAAGTATTTTTAAAAAAATAATGATTTTTTTCACATTTTAGCGTTATAATCTTCAAACTTCAGTGAAAGGGAATAGGAGACAGGGTAGTAGTGATCTATCCAGATATGTTTATTTCAAATCCATGGAACATCCGGTTATGTCCGTTCCTCTTGCCCTCTGCCTCAGCTAATCAACATTTTAAAGAAATCACTCAGTTTAAGCCGGGTGATAGTCTCAAGGCAGATATTGTATATGTGCAGTCTAGTAAGTAAACTCACCCATGCTCTTTGTGTTATCTTTATCTGTGCTTTGTCGTTTCCTTCCAGTTTCCGTTTCTGAAAGCTTCCTGTCCTGTCTTGTTTCAGGATTACAGCTGGACAGACATTCGCTGCCCCTTTGAAAAACGAAGAGATGCAGCATGTGTGTTTTGGGACAATGTTGTATACATTTTGGGTGGTTCTCAGCTTTTCCCCATAAAGCGAATGGATTGCTACAATGTCGTGAAGGATAGCTGGTATTCCAAACTTGGCCCTCCAACACCTCGAGACAGCCTTGCTGCCTGTGCTGCAGAAGGCAAAATTTATACATCTGGAGGTTCAGAAGTAGGTAAGACCCTGTTGATATTTTTGTTTAACAGAAGTATTTTAATCCAACTATCTTGGCATTTGTATTTTTCAAAAATTAGGAAGATTTGTCCAGATACTTTGGTAATTTAAATACATGTATATTAACATTTTAGAGTCTATTTCCTTGTATGCTTACCTTAATTCTTCAAATTATTGACAGGAGTGCCAGCATTCTGGGGCTTGAGAGATGGTGCAGTAATTAAAGGCACATACTGCTGTTCCAGAGGACCTGAGTTCAATGCCCGGTAGCCACATCAGTTGGGCTTACAACCACATGTAACTCCAGCTCTGAAGGGCATCCAATACTTTTGGTCTCTGTAGGCACCTGCATGCATATTCACAGACACACATACTAACAAAACATTATAATGCCATCTTTCCAAATGAACTGCCCTCTTTTAATTATGATGAAATGCTAATTGACAGTATTTTAATTTTACTTGTAGATAGTTATTTGGGGATAGGTAATGTTATTTCTTTTGAAGCTTGAGAGTTTGACTTAATCAGTGATCCAGTAGGAATATGTTTCTTGTATCTGTATTATCTTTGTTTCCTTCGTATCATAAGAACGAATGCTCTTTTTCCTTCTTTCTACTTTTTGAGTGAGAGTCTTCATAGCCACAGGTGGTCTTGAACTCATCATCTGCCTGCCTCAGCTGTCTGAGTGCTGGGATCACATATATGAACCACTCTACCCTCAGCTCAAGAATAATTGTTTTCATTTGCTTTTAAAAAAAAATGTAAGGAGCTGGTTGGTTGGTTGGTTGGTTGGTTGGTTGGTTGGTTGGTTGGTTTGGAGATTGGGTCTCATATACCCAGGCTACCTTCCCACTTACTATATAGCTGAGGATGATCTTGAACTTCTGATCTTCCAACTCCACCTCCCAAGTGCTGTGATGACAAGCTTGTGCCACCATGACCACTTGTAGCATGAATCTTAGAGAGTCTTATTAATAAAATCAAACCCGAGGCCAGTTATTGGGGTGAAATGCTGGATGGTCAGAGAGACAGAACAAGCCACAGCTAACCTCACCTGGCCAACTTCTCAGCTGGTCTTGTTTCCTCAGACTGGAAGCCTCTGTGTCCTCATATCTTCATATCCGAATGGCTCTCAGCTGAACTGTGCTGCTAGAAGCCTGAAAGCTTAACCAGCCAAATGCTGCTTGTTTCTGGTCTTCACGCCTTATATATCTTTTCTGCTTTCTACCACCATTCCCTGGGATTAAAGGCTCACTTCTTGGGATTAAAGGCATGTGTCACCATGCCTGGCCATTTCCAATGTGGCCTTGAACTCATAGAGATCCAGAGGGATTTCTACCTCTGGTGCTAGGATTAAAGGTATGAGTGCCACCATTTTCTAGCCTTTGTATCTAGTGGCTGTTCTGTCTCTGACCCCAGATAAGTTTATTAGGGTGCACAATATTTTGGGGAACACAATACCACCACAACCACTGGTATGCAGTGCAGAGTATCAAACCTAGGACTTTGTGCTTAGTAGGACAGTTCTCTACCAACTAAGTTACATCCCCAAGACCTGCTATAAATGTTTGTGTTTATGGATCAGAATAAGGTATGGGTATAAGTATAAATACCTGTCTAATTGATCATTTTTTAGGGTCAGTATTTTTCTAAGTGAAATATTCTAGGTATAGCCTAGGATTAATAGATTTTATAGATTAATAGACTAGAATATAATAGATTTCTTATGCTTTTCTCTTTTCAAGTAATTACATAGTGGAGTTCTAAGTAAAGACAAGTAAACCTAAGGCATACATTTTTTTTTTAAACATATTTATTTATGTATACATTATTCTGCCTGCATGTGTCCCTGCAGCCCACAAGAGGGCACCAGATCTTGTTATGGATGGTTGTGAGCCACCATGTGGTTGCTGGGAACTGAACTCAGGACCTCCGAAAAAAGCAGTCAGAGCTCTTAACCACTGAGCCATCTCTCCAGCCCCTAAGGCGTACATTTTAAAAGGCTCTTTATTTTTCTTTGATGACCTTTGTATTAGCTCAGAAAATATTTTACTTTGGGTTAGCATCTTATCTGTTGTAAATTTTTTTGTTTTTTGTCTTTTTGCTCTAAGTTTTTACCTCCTTCACACCTTTAATCATAGCACTGAGGCAGAGGCAGGCATATTTCTGTAAACTCGAAACAGCTTGGCCTGCATATCAAGGTCCAGGACATCCAAGGTTACATAGTGGGACCCTGTCTCAAAAAGAAAAGAAATAAAATTCCAAGGTCCTTTTTATTTTTATTAGAAAGGACAAAAGGCACTTATTCTTTAATGGGATTATTTATAAAATTCTTACTGAGCTCCTATAGTATGTAAAGGTTGTAAAACAGTGAATATGTGTTTTGCTCTTAAAATGCATAATTAGTGTACAAGACAGAAATACACCTTGATACCTTGATGCTGTACTCAAGTAGGGACCAGGATGACTTCAGTACTCATCTGCACATAGTTTTGTTAATAGGGCAGTAGCAATTATAGAATACTAAGTAAATCTTAGAATATTGTCATGTAGTAATTTTTATATATTTTTTAAGATGTATTTATTTATTATGTATAGTGTTCTGTTTGCACATATCCCTGCAAGCCAGAAGAGGGCACCAGATCTCATTACAGATGGTTGTGAGCCACCATGTGGTTGCTGGGAATTGAACTCAGGACCTTTGGAAGAACAAGCAGTGCTCTTAACCTCTGAGCCATCTCTCCAGCCCCGTAATTTTTATATTTTAAGGTTTAGATTTACCTTAGTTTGCCAGATCTTCATATTTTAAGAAATGTAGCTATGTTTTAAACCTTTACATTTGAAGGCTGGAGAGATGGCTCAGCAGTTAAGATCACTAGCTACTCTTCCAGAGGACCTGGATTCAATTCCCAACACCCACATCGCTGCTCACACCTGTCTATAACTCTAGTTTCAGGGGATCTAACACCCTCACACAGATATACATTAAGGCAAAACACCAATGAACAAAAATAAAAATAAATTAATTAAAAAACTTTACATTTGAAACTTAATAATTCTTATCATGCACAACTGGCTTTGAAGACGATATAATGGTTCTTTTGTTCTTTTGAAATCAATTTCTTTTCCTAAAATTTAATTAATAAATCTGTCCAACAGATCCTTTTGTTTTAATGTTTTCCAAGGTCTATACAATATCACGAAATTTTCTTAAATTATTGTAGCAAGTAGAAAAATGATCTCTACAAACCTAAGTTCTTCCCTTTCTTCATTTAGCTCTATGGTTATTTCACTGCAAGCCCCCCACACCAAGCCAAGTATGACTAGATGGTGGTAGGACCCTTTCTTTTCCAGGGACGGTGTTGAAACAGGGTCCCACGCTGTCCCCGGGCTGGCCTCACACTCACCGTCCTCAGCCTCTTCACCCGAGCCCTTTTCTGTCACAGGGAACTCGGCTCTCTATCTATTCGAGTGCTATGACACAAGAACTGAAAGCTGGCACACGAAGCCCAGCATGCTGACTCAGCGCTGCAGCCACGGGATGGTGGAGGCCAATGGCCTCATCTACGTCTGTGGTGGAAGCTTGGGAAACAATGTTTCTGGGAGAGTGCTTAGTTCCTGTGAAGTATATGATCCTGCTACAGAAACGTATGTATCGATTTTAAATGAGTCTGTCAGTGTTGCTATATTCCATAAGCTCACTGGATGAAGATGCCAAAAGGTAGAAGGAACCCAACAGAAATTTAATTCTCGTTTTAAGAATATATATGCACTTGAAGCTGGGCATGGTGGCACATGCCTTTAATCCCAGCACTTGGGAGGCAGAGGAAGGTGGATCTCTGTGAGTTCGACACCAACCTGGTCTACAGAGCGAGCTCCAGGACAGGCTCCAAAGCCTCACAGAGAAACCCTTTCTTGAAAAACAAACAAACAAACAAACAAACAATACACACACACACACACACACACACACACACACACACACACACACACACACACACACACACTTGAATAGCCTGAGACCTTAGGAAATAACTTGACTTTGTTGTACATGGGAGCCCCTCTCTTTCTGGACCTGCTTGTTCAGTAAATATGAATGTGATACACCTGATTGGTCCATCAGACTCATACATGTAGGGGAGAAGGAGAGAAAACTTAGAATTAAATAATTTTGTCCTTAAGTAGCAATATTACAAATTGGTTCCTGGCATTAAGCATTCTCCTAGGTGTGTCTTGAGGTTCATAGCTCTCAAAGTACATCTGAATTAGTATTTCTTAATTAAACTAACATTAAATCATTTTTGAAAGGGAAAATGCTGAGCTGGATGTGGTAGTGCATACCTATAAATCTAGCACTAAGAAGACTGAGAGGCAGGAGAATGGCCATGAGTTTGAGGCCAGACTGGGGTACAACGAGAGTCCTTGTCTGGGGGGGGGGGAACAGAGGGAAAATTTTCATTATAAAATGTAATTGATCTTCTTGTGCTTTTTATTTTTAAATGATTTAAAGAAACATGATACCACTTTCCCAAATAAAAGGGCAGTTGCAGTTTTTTATTCTCATTTTTTGTTCAACTCTTCACCAAGAACTAGCACCAAAGCCACTTGTCTTGAAATTTATTTTTTACTAAAGAAATCTCTTGGGCTCAAACGAGTTGCAGTCTGATGCTTTTCAAGCCTGTACTTGTTCCAGGCCATGCTGGGGTCCCGTGTCCTTGTCCTCTCATCCACCACTTGAGCTGTCTCTCCACTCCACTCCTCCCCTTGACAGGCCACTACCTTACCTCCTATGAGTCCAGTGCTCAAAATACGTTATAGCACTCTAATTGGGAAACTGGTCTTTTTGTGCTATTGCTCTCAATTCCAAACCACGACCTTTGGTTGGGGATTTAGCTCAGTGGTAGAGCACTTGCCTAGGAAGCGCAAGGCCCTGGGTTTGGTCCTCAGCTCCGAAAAAGAAAAAAAAATTTATAAAATGTATCTTAGTTAGTGTTTCTATTGCTGTGAAGAGATACCATGAGCATGTCAACTCTTATAAAGAAACATTTAATTGGGGCTGGCTTACAGTTTAGAGGTTTAGACCATTATCATGACAGGAAGCATGGCGGCGTGCAGGTGGACATGATGCTGGAAAGGTAGCTGAGAGTTCTACATTTGGATCAACAGGCAGCAGAAAGAGAGAATGACACTGGGCTTGGTTTGAGCATCTGAGACCTCAAAGCCAGTGACATATTTCCTCCAACAAGGCCATACCTCCTAATAGTGCCTAATAGTCTCTGTGGGCCTATGGGGACCATTTTCATTCAAACCACCACAAAATACAACCTATAATTGTATATATTCTAGACTTCTAAATCTTTATTCAGGTCTTTATTCAAGCAAGATCAGTGCTAAGCCACTATACTCTTATTTACAGCAGGAAGGAAACAATTAATGAAAGAATTTGTGGGACTGGGGTGATGGTCCAGCATCCAGGTAAAAAGCCAGGTGTGGCTTCCTGTACCTGTAACCCAATAGTGTAGAGGTTACAGAGACAGGTTGTCTTCGTTAGGGTTTCTATTGCTGTGAAGAGACACCATGACCATGGCAACTCTGATAAAGGAAACATTTAATTGGGGTGGCTCGCTTACAGTTCAGAGGTTCAGTCCATTATGATCATGAAGGGGAGCATGAAGGCATGCAGGCAGATGTGGTGCTGAAGAAGTAGTTGAGAGTCCTATATCTTGCAGGTAACAGGAAGTGGTCTGAGACACTGGACGGTATCTTGGGCACATATGAGACCTCAAAGTCCACCTCCACAGTGACACATTTCCTCCAACAAGACCACATCTACTCCACAAGGCCACACCTCCTAATAGTGCCACTCCCTTTAGGGAACCATTTTCTTTCAAACTACCACATAGGTTGATCCCAAGAGCTGATTGACTGACTGACCAGTGAGAGACCCTCTTTCAAGACAGATAAGGCAAAGAGTTATAAAGGAAGACAGCTCTGGCCTCTGCATTTATATGCACACAGGCCCTACCCAGACACAAGTTTTAAAAATAAATACAAAGAAAAGGAAATCTGTAATCTCAGTGTTTTTTTAAACTAACTGAATATTCTGTTTTGAGAATATGTAAAAACTTGGAAGATTTAGCATCTCTTTTGTTATATTGGACTTGTGTTTTAAATTTTATTCTCAACATTCTGTTCAGTATTCTTTAATTTTCATAAATGAAATTTTATCTGGGTTTGTTTAGTGAACAAAGATGGATCAGTGTTTAGGAACACCCAAGTGCTTTTCCAGAGGATCCGGGTTCAGTCCCCAGCCTCCCCTCTCCCCCATGGTGGCTCACAGCCATCTGTATCTCAAGGTCCAAGGGATCCAGTACCCTTTTCTGACCTTGGGCACTAGGCACAAATGTGGTGTACAGACATACATGCAGGCAAAACACACAGATATAATAAAATAATAAACCTAAAAAGAAAAACTAAACACTGAAGCTCCAGGTTGGAAACTGAAAAGTAAAGTGCACACTTTACATGTATGCTACACTTTGCATGTACACTACACTTTGCATGTACACTACACTTTACATGTACACTATACTTTACATGTACACTATCTGCACTACCTTCTACACTATCTGAAAAGTGGAATGCACACTTTACATGTACACTATCTGAATTTTCCAGCACAAATATTTTTCATAATACACAGTGGCAGCTTACAGTGTGGAGTGGCAGTGAAGGACCTGTGCTTACTGTTTCCATTTCCAAGCTGCAAGCTTGGGTTTCACCTGGGTAAGCACAGTGTGTGTGTGTGTGTGTGTGTGTGTGTGTGTGTGTGTGTGTGTGTGTTTCTTGAAAAACAGGGCCATTATGGCCTCCGTAGTGGTTGATGGCTGAGAAACCATTTTTAAGCAAAACAAAAAACATAAATGCAAGACAACAGAAAAATTGTTAATATTTTAGTTGATGATAGGCCTTGAATATGTCATAAAATTAATCCAGTTTTTTAAAAGTTTAAAATAACCATCTTAAAAAGTATTTATGCTAAGTTTTCTGTTGTTTGAAGTCTTATGGTGTTAGCCGTGTACCATTAGCACCCTCAGAGTCACGAGTGTTAGCTATGCAAGTGTACACAGAAGAAACAACTATCAGAAGTAGCCGCCTCCGTGGTCTGTGTTAGTTATGTGTATAATAATGCTACCATGTTAGTATACTTCAACACAGTGTCTGCATTGGTGTTCTCAGTTTCACTGAGTAGTGGTTGTGTGGTACTAAGTTACTCAGACCGGCAAATGGCGTTCATGCGTGTGTTTTCTCTCTCTCTCTCTCTCTCTCTCTCTCTCTCTCTCTCTCTCTCTCTCTCTCTCTCTCTCTGTGTGTGTGTGTGTGTGTGTGTGTGTACCAGACTACCTAAAGTTCTCACTGTACATTTATATGTGACGGCATGGTGGTGACACACACCTATAATCCAGCAATCTGGGAGCATGAAGTAGGTAGATCTCAGTTTGAGGCAAGCCTGAGCTGCACAGTGAGCCTTTGTCTCTAAAATAAAATAGTAAAATAACAACAACAATGACATGTAAATAATAAACACACAAGCCTATAATTTGAATTTTGGGGGCAACTGGAGCAGGACGATTACTGAGAGTTTAAGTCCAGCCTGGGCTACATGAAGAAGTTTCAGGTCACCCAGGGCTAGATAGCAAAACTCTATCTCAAACCCCTCAAAATACTAGTTAATTCATTGTATGAGGTTTATTATGCGGTTTTGTTTTACTTAAGCAGAAATACTAATTTAGAAGCACATGTAGCTGAGCATGGTGGCTCAGGCCTATAATCCTGGCCCCTGAGAGGCAGAGGCAGGAGGAGCATCACAGACCCACAGCCAGCATTACCTACGTGCGGGTTCTCGTTGTCTGGCTACAGAGAGAGGCCCTGTCTCAAAAAGAAAAAAGGGAGATAATTGAAGCTTTATACCCTTCCTCTTTGCTCTTGTTGCCATTTCAAAAATTATTGGAAATTGGGAAATGGATTTCTTCAAAAGACACATAAATTGTTTCCTTCTGCTTAAAGTCCCCAGTTTCCCTCACCTATAAAAACATTATCCAAAACCACATGAGTGTTTTCTAGCCTTCGAGACATCTTAGGTGTATATATGTATGAAACATGGTAGTCAATGAGCATGTTTAGGATAACAGGCCTGCCCCATTGGAATCGCTGTATTTCTTTAAATAAGCACACTAAAAACTTTTTTCCCGCAGATGGACTGAGCTGTGTTCAATGATTGAGCCCAGGAAGAATCATGGACTGGTGTTTGTAAAGGACAAGATATTTGCTGTCGGTGGCCAGAATGGTTTAGGTATGTGATGTTAACTTACACTTCAACTCTCCTGGGTTTACTAATAATTTCTTAAATTATGGGAGCGTTTCGTGAAATTGAATCATTTGCAATACAGAGCACTCACTATGTCTTAGCATTAGCATATGTTATGAAATGTCAAGCTGTCATTGTGACTACCTCAGACAGGCTTGTGCCTTTCTATATGCCCACAGGGATGCTTTCACATCTGCCTAAGGAGTACTGAACAGTTGAAAAATGTGAATGTTTAAAAAAATATATATTTACTAGCTTTTCAACATTCTAAATACTGCATGAGAATCTCCTTACTCTTTATTTGGCCTTTTCATTTTCTTAAGTAATGCTAATAAAACTAAATCTAAAGATGGTACTTCATTTTATTAGCTTATCTACATGTTAAGTAAAGCAAAGAAATAATTTCTTTGGTGCTCTCCATAAATTGCTAAAAGATAGAAGAACATTTGGAATAAATTATAATCAAAGTAAATGAAAAAGTAAGTTGCTGGTACTTTTTTGTTTTCCAGGATAGAACATTTGTAGGAAATGTTTTTGTTTTTTTAACCCTTAACTTTGTAGGAAAAAAATGATTCTGAAAAATTATCAATTTCTTTTAAGAATAAGTATCTAGGTAGTGGATATGTGGGTAATGATTATAAAGCTCTTATATCCTATGTGTTTTACAATTTTATTTTGAAATGAAATGTAAAATTTAAAAAACTATGAAGAGATACAAGAATCATTGATAGAGTTCTATTTTCTTTTGAAGGTGGTCTGGACAATGTGGAATATTATGATATTAAATCAAATGAATGGAAGATGGTGTCGCCCATGCCATGGAGGGGTGTAACAGTGAAATGTGCAGCAGTTGGCTCTATCATCTATGTGCTGGCAGGTTTTCAAGGTGTAGGTAGATTAGGACACATCCTGGAGTATAATACTGAGACAGACAAATGGATTGCCAATTCCAAAGTCCGTGCTTTCCCGGTCACAAGTTGTCTAATTTGTGTTGTTGATACTTGTGGAGCAAATGAGGAGACCCTTGAAACATGAATGATGAGTAGACTCCCCACTCATCTGAGACAGAAATTTGGCCACCCATGGTTTGTTCCAGTAGTTTGGTTATGAAGTTCTGGTCTGATATTTTGATAAGTAAGATTCCAATAAAATAAGTTTATTTTATCTGGATTTCCTTACTTAATTCACAGACCATATTTTAGCTGGCCATATAACCAAGAACCTATCAGCCAGAAAACTTGAAAAGTTATAAGCATTCTTGAAAATATGAATTTCAAATATATAACTGATTCTGGCAGAGTGGGGCATGCTCATCAGAGAAGTAGCCCAAGCTTAGCTTTAGACTCTATTTTCATATTGTGTAAGTGCTGTGTAGTTAGGTCGTTTGTTTGTTTGGTCAAGAACTAAGTGGTAGTATGGATTATAATTACCGAGAAGGTAACTGTATCTAGTATTATGTATTTTGCTTGTCTTCATTTATCTCATTTAGTGCCAAACTATTCCATTTTAAAGTAAGCAAAAGCAGCTCAAGGCATACATATTTTCTCACAAAATTTCACAGATTTGGAGATTGAACACCATACCCAATTATTCATGAAATATATTCAGTGGAATAAATGAAATATTTCATATTTTCATGTAAAATATTAAGCTTAGCAAGCATCATTAATTTATATGGTTTTACTCAGCAATGTAAAAAGTGCTCTGTACCCTCAGTCCTTACTGTGAGAGCCAATCAGAATAAGAGTGGTTAACCTGCAACAGAAGAAAAGCTGTTTAAAAAATTCTAGATCACTAGAAAAGTATTGAAAACTGTAGCCCAGTATTGTGTGGATTTTAAAAGATACTGTTTTTTCTTTCTCCTAGCAAAACATGTCAGAGATAACTGAGTTTTCTCTAAAAGTTTTATAATAATTGGCATTAAATATGTCACTGTTTATTTCTTTTATGTGGACAACAAATTACCAAACCACTTATTAATTTTTTCCCAGTGTTTTTCCCTTTGACTGTGTATGAAATGTGCCATGTAAAACTGTCAATCATCAATGTTTTTATCTGATATTAAATATTTTTAACTTAAAATAGATTTGCTCTGTTTATTCATTCTAAGTGTGTTCATTAATGTTTTTAAAATTTGTGAAAGTGTTTCTATTTTTAATTTTTCTCTATATGGAGATTATAATAGACTAAAATGTTTAAATTAAAAATGAACTTGAAAAAATAAGAGATTTATCTGTTGAGTTTTTATGTACAGACAGCTCTATTGAGATGTAATCCATAGGCATACAATCCATCTATTTAAACTGTACCATTTTAGTGGCTTCTACTATATTCAGTGTGTGCAATCCTCAGAGTTTTGGAATGTTTTCATCATCCCTCCAAAAGAAACTCTGTACATACTAGTAATCACTCCCTCTGTTTCCCATGTGTTAGCTTTCTAGACTGCTACAAACTACCACATACTTAATGGCTGAAAACAAATGTATTGTCACTGTTTAGGAGCCCAGGTGTTCCAAATCTGACTTTTGGAGGATTGGGCAAAACCACCATACCCTCTCCTCTCTGCTGCTGGTTGCCAGTAGTCCCTGGCATGTACTTGTTAGCCTATAACTGCATTGCACAGTCTTCTACCTTGGACTTCTCATGGCCATTTTTTCCTCTTGTGTAAGTTTCTTCACATAGTTCTTTTATAAACACAGCAATCGGTTGGGCTCTGTTACTTTTTTTACTTATGTGTATGAATATTTTGTCTGTCTGTATATATGTACACCATGTGTGTGCCCAGTGCCCACAGAGGTCAGAAGCGGGGGTCAGATCCCCTGAAACTGGAGTTATAGACAGTTGTGAGCTACCATGTGGGTACTGGGAATTGAACGGAGGTCCTCTACAATAGCAGCCAGTGCCCTTAACCTTGGAGCCATCTCCAGCTGGCCTGGAAACAAGATATCCACCTGCCTCTGCTTCCAAACTGCTGAGACTAAGGAGATGTACCTACACATCAGATGGGTTCTGGTACTTTATCTTAAACCATTGCATCTGCAAGGATTCTGTTTCTAAAGTGAAAACATTCTAGAGTTCTAGGTAGACATGAGTTTTGTGAGGAGCACCTAGTACACCCTTAGAAACTCCAGCCTTGGGCAACCTCCACCTCCAGATTTGACTGTTGGAACATTTTTATGTAGGATTTTTAACTTTGCACTCTATATAAAAATGTGGCTAGTTGGAGCTGGAGAGATGGCACTTGATGCTCTTGCAGAAGGACCCAGGTGTGGTCCTTTGCATCCACTCGGAGGCTCACAACCATCTATAACTCTAGTTCCAGGAGATCTGATGTCCTCTTTCTAGCCTCCTCAAGTACCAGGCACATGCAGTGAACCACATGAGTACATACGTGCAGGCAAACATAAAACATTTTTTTTTTTTTTTTTTTTTTTTTTTTTGGTTTTTCGAGACAGGGTTTCTCTGTGTAGCTTTGCGCCTGTCCTGGAACTCACTTGGTAGCCCAGGCTGGCCTCCAACTCACAGAGATCCGCCTGGCTCTGCCTCCCGAGTGCTGGGATTAAAGGCGTGCGCCACCACCGCCCGGCAACATAAAACATTTTTAATGTGGCTAAATTTTCTGGTGACAAATATAGAATATGGAGCACTGCTTAAAATATTTTAAATATACTAGCTGTTCTTTTGGGGCTGTGTTAACTAAAACACATTATATCAAGTTTGATGTAGCATGAATCCTAATAGGTCTTATTAATAAAAACCTAGAGTCAGATATTAAGGGATAAAAAGATCAGAGAAGCAGAGCAGCCATCCACAAGAGTTCTTACCTCTACCAAATCCTCAGACTGAAAGAGCTCTCAGCTCCTGTCTCCTCCTACCTTATATTCCTCTTTCCACCCAGCCATATCACTTCTGTCTCCACCTCCCTAGTGCTAGGATTAAAGGCATGAGATCCCAAGTGCTGGGATCAAAGGTGTGTGCCACCACTGCCTGGCTCTGTTTCTCTTTTAGACAGGATCAATCTTGTGTAGCCCAGGGTGGCCTTGAACTCACAGAGATCCATCTGCCTCTGCCTCCTGAGTTCTGGAATTAAAAGTGTGTGCTACCACTGCCTGACCTCTATGGCTAACTAGTGCCTAGCTTTGCCCTCTGATCTTTAGGCAAGCTTTATTTGTTAGAGCTTATACAAAATATCGCCACAGCTTTACCCCTAGTAGTCTATGTCATGATCCCAATAAGAATTGCCTCCCCACCAGAACTGTTATACACAATTCTCAAAGCCAGGATAATGGGTAAAAGTAAACTGGATTCAAAATTTACTACGTTGTGTACAAATTACTTTGTATAAAAAGTATGTTTCATTACTTTTTTCAAAATTCCTTTCCTCTAATGTGCTGTGCTTTCATTTCAGTAGATACTGGGTCTGTTGCTGTTCTGTCCTTGGAAGTGGCCTATTTTGATAATACATGATTAAATTTTGAAAAATCACAATTTGAGTATGAATGTTTAGTAGCCAAAAATTACTACATACTATAAACAGGAATTGTGGCTTTGTGGTCTAGTTTTTTAAACAACATTATAATGTCATGAAAACTTTTGAGTCATTAACTATTTTAATATGCCCATATCAAAATAAGATGTGCCACTTAGTAAACAGTTATTCAACTAATCCTATATTCATTTTTGCTTGTGTGCATTAGGGGAAAAAGCTTACTGTGTTTACCAAGGGAAAGGAGATATTTAGGGAAAAAAAAACTTAAGACTGAGAATCTTAACCTATACCAAAGACTTAAAAAAATCCAATTTACTCCATCCAATATGACACCAAACCAGTTCTCACTAAGCCTCAGGAAACTGGGAATATGAAAGGGCATTTCACTGGTTGCAGCATCTAACGCTTAATCGATCCTTTTGAATACCTTGTTTCCTCCAAAGATGTTTAAAATTTCACTTTGATCTTCCTAGTTTTCCTCCTTTTTATAACATAACAAACTAATTTAGTGGGGGGGGGGGATAAAAAGTAGTTTGAAGCAGGTGTGGTAGCTCACACCTTGGCATGCTGAAGCAGGAGGATGACTAACTTTGAGACCAGCCTGGGTTACAACTACATAGAGAGCTATGTAGAATGTGCTCATACTCTTCCTATTACTGAGACAAAACCTCAGGAAATGGGTTGCTTCTGGCTCACAGTTTAAGGGTCCATGGTGGCCTGGAAGGGATTTCAGCAAGAACACGAGGCAGCTGGTCACATTGCATTGCAGTCTGGAAGCAGCAATGGATGCTCAACTCGAATTTACCCTTTTATACAATGTGTGACCCCTCTCCATAAGTGGTGCAGCCCACACTCAGGGTGTCTTCTCCAGTTAAATCTTCCTGGAAGCATCCTCACAGACATGTCCAGAGGTGTGTATCTATGGGGATTCTAAATCTAACACCTCAAAATGCAGAGATACGTGTCTGTGGTGATTCTAAATGTAATCAGCTTGACAATATTAACCTTCAAAAGTGTTAAACTTACTAACTAGAATTTTGCCTGACATCTTCCCATCCTCTGGCATAACCAAGATGGGTTTTTTTTGTTGTTTTGTTGTTGTTGTTGTTGTTTTTCGAGACAGGGTTTCTCTGTGTAGCTTTGCGCCTTTCCTGGACTCACTCTGTAGCCCAGGCTGGCCTCGAACTCAGAGATCCGCCTGCCTCTGCCTCCCAAGTGCTGGGATTAAAGGCGTGCGCCACCACTGCCCGGCCAAGATGTATAATGAGACTGAAGGTGTGCTTTAAGTCTTAGGAGACCCTGAACTGTCTTCATCTCCTAGTTTGTTCCCACTATCCAATTTTGATTTCCAAGAGCACTTTCATCTTGCTTTTATATAGTTTACTTATTTTATACTGATACAGGGTCTTGTTTGAGAACTGCAAAGTTAATATATGGAATGTGCCAGATGTATTTGATCCTAGCACTTGAGAAGCAGATAGGTAGGTCTCTGTGGGTTCAAGGCCAGCCAGGGCTACATAGTATGATTGTATCTCAAAAAAAAAAAAAAAGAAAGAAAGAAAGAAAGAAAAGAAAAGGAAGAAGAGGAGGAATAATAGTAGAAGAGGCGATATGGACTGTTTTCAGAAAACCCTTATTTGAAGCTGTGCATCTAAAAAAAAAAGTGGGCTGCTTCTGTGTCAGTTTTCCGGACAATTTTCATTATTCTTGATAAAATTTCAAAAGGCAATATTTACGTGAAATTTTACGAACAAGATTTCTCAGTGTGCAGACAGACAGTATCAACTAAGGAGCTATTATACTTTTCGCCTACAGTGCGTCCGTTTGCTGGTTACAGCTGGCTGTCTGAGTCGTTCTTTTTTTTTTTTTTTTTTGGTTTTTCGAGACAGGGTTTCTCTGTGTAGCTTTGTGCTTTTTCCTGGAACTCACTTGGTAGCCCAGGCTGGCCTCGAACTCACAGAGATCCACCTGGCTCTGCCTCCCGAGTGCTGGGATTAAAGGCGTGCGCCACCACCGCCCGGCTCTGAGTCGTTCTTTTTATGAGCCCGTTTTTACTTTTTTTTTTTTTTTGGCTAAATAAATGTAACGAACGACTGAGCCTCGCACACTACACCCAACTAGAGCCTTGGTGGTCATCTGCTATATCAGGTACCCTCCAGATTCGGGTCCGGTCCCCAGGTCCAACGCCCGAGGCCCTTTTCAACACCTCTCTTTCTCAGGACCTCTTTACACGTGAGTAGGCAGGTCTGCTCTTCTCAAATCCTATTGGCTAAAGCCCACGCCTCTCACCGCCTGGGGGACGGGTCACAGAACCTCTGGGCGCGGGGGATGACGTCACATCGGCGACGGGGCTTCGGTTGAAAACTGGCCATCCCTGCTGACTTGAAGACCGCGTAGCTGGGACGGCGCTACGATGACCATTTGCCAGTTTTTCCTTCAAGGCCGGTGCCGCTTCGGAGACCGCTGCTGGAACGAGCACCCTGGCACCCGGGGCGCGGGCCTGGCCCGGCAGCCGCCACCACAGCAGCCGCAGCCGCCCTCAGGTGACGCTCCCGGAGCCGCGAGCCAGGGTCCCCAGATGCGGACGCTCACCCCACCGCAGTTAGGGTAGTCGTTTCGGCCGATCAGACAGGAGCAGGGCTTTGGGCCTGGGTGCTCGTACCAAACACTGCGTTTTTAAATTCGTATATTTTATCAAAACCACTTTGTTGGTGAATGGCAGTGGTTGGGAGAATTCGCGTGGGTCCGTCCAGACTTACTGCCCTACTTCCCTTCCTTGTACTTGATCGCATGCTCTTAAAATTTGGGCTTTAGTTAGTAGGGTGGGACGCTGGGCTAAGAAACTTACAGGTTTTGAGGAAAGAGTATTCAGGGGCCAGGCATTAAACCTTCCGTACAGCACAAGGTTTTAAAAGTCAGAATGGTATATTTTATTTTCTTAGTTTTGGATCTTAGTTTTTGACATTTATCACTGGCTGCTTCTCTTTCCTTCGTCTTTAAGGCTTATCCAATCCCCTGTGTTGCGTGGTGGCTTCATGTTTCAACTCCCTTCGTGGAGGAGACAGATTGTGTCACCCATCTACAGTTTACTAGTGAAATACTCCAAAAGTTAGGACTCACGTTCTGATAAATCCTGGTGTGTTCCCAGGGACTGCTGAGAGTGATGTTTGTCGTCTCTGGAAGCCTACTTTAAGTGCAGTAATTTGAAAGTAAACGTTCGGTAGATAGATAATTGGATGAAAAATGCAAATAAAACTTGAGGATGAAAAGAAAGAAAAAGAATGCTTTGGAGTTTCAAAGCCAAAATTAGGGCCATCTAGTGCAGCATAAAGGAAATTCATTTCTATGCTGTGTGATACCCCCCCCCACACACACACACAAAAGATTTGGAACTGCAAAACAAAATGCCATTAATTCCTACTTAAGAAACGTGGTTCAGCTGTCTCTTCCATTTTCTATTTCTCTTTGGATTTATGAAGTAGTTTAGAATACAGGTACACCTATCGTTACGTTTTTAGTATATGTTAAATGACATATTTTCCAAATCAGTCGTAAGATAATTACCTTCATCCTAACCTCAACTACGAAGTGATAAAATTAAAAACAATATGAAATCCAGAAAGAAGTCCGATTGACTCATTTTTTATATTTATGAAGTGTTAGAAATCTGCCCTGTACTCTATCCACCTATTAGTGAGCTCTGTAACCTCCATATGAAAGGTAAGTATGTAGGTATTGCATCCACAGAGGGAAGACTGAGACAAATGGTCCTTAAATATCTGTTAAGGACAGATGGTAAAGTTTAGTCCTTTTTACTGACCAGTGTATTCATTATTCTCTTTCATCCATTGACTGTGAAGAAGCAAATTAATGGAAACACAGCTTTTCCCGAACATACACCCAGCGCTAGGTCATACCAGGGGCCTTGAGCATCCTAAGCAAAGGCTCTTCACTAAAGAAGCTTGGGACTTGTATCTTCTGTTCATAGGCAGGTTAATAGGCTTATAAAAGCTGAACTCAGCAATGTATCTCTATTTTCCTATGGACTTCTAATCCTCTTGATCTCATCTTTTAAAATTTTTATTTTATGTGCATTGGTATTTTGCCTACATGTATATCTCTGAGAATGTTGGATCCCCTGGAACTTGAGTTACAGCTGTGAGCTGCCATGTGGGTGCTGGGAAATGAGTCCAAGTCCTCCGGAAAAGCAGCCACTGCTCTTAACTGCTGAGCCATCTCTCCAGCCCATTGATGTCATTTTTGTTGTTGTTGGTGGTTGGTTGGTTTGGTTTTTGGGTTTTTGTTTTGTTTGTTTGAGATAAGGCCTCACTATGTAGCCCTGGCTGGTCTAGAACTCACAGAGATCTGCCCATCTCTGCCTCCACAGTGCTGTGATTAAAGTCATACACCAACACACCTGGCCTTGACCTCATTTTTTTCAATGCAGTTAGAACATGTGATTTGTTATAACATGTAAAAAGCTGTAAATCATAAAGGGATTCTCATTTAAAAACAGTAGAAAAATAGCACTTTATTAGCGTTTATATAATTTCTAGAAATAATAAGATAAAATGTAATGGAGATTTCCAAGATTTGAAAAAGTTACCAATTTTACGATTCTTTTTCTTGATTATTTTAGGAAGCAACAGGCGCGGGTGGAATGCCACCAGCCAGAGGTACTCCAACCTCATCCAGCCATCCAGCTTCTCCAAGTCTACGCCATGGGGTGGCAGCAGAGATCAAGACAAACCACTATTCGGCTCCTTTGACTCTGGCGCTTCCACCAGCCAAGGCTTTGGATCATCTCAAAACCCTTTTGCGTCACCTGTCTCTGATGAGCAGAAAGATGAAAAGAAACTTCTGTAAGTTAAAGTTTTGTAGAAAGTCACCACCCAATTGCTTGGTTTTTCCAGACGCACTTAGTGTTTTCTTTGAAAAAGAATAATACTGAAAACCAGAGTAAGCAAAACTGTATTAGCACATTTCAAAAGCTGGTCCTGCTTACAAGGTCAGAACAACTGTGATCCTGAAGATTACTGGTAAGAACGCTTATTTTTCTTTGTAAAACTTCTATTTCAGTTACCTATTTGAAGTTCCATAAACAGTGAATTTCTATGGAGTTTTTTGGTGGCGAGCAGGGGTTGTTTTATTTTATGACAAGGTCTCCCTTCGTCACCTTGGCTGGCTTGGAACTCACAGAGATCTCATTATCTGTGCCTCCAGAGTTCTAGGATTAAAGGTGTGTGCCCTGCTGTTGGTTTTTGAAATGATGAAGATTGAAGCTAAATTTTTAAGTGTGTGTGTGTGTGTGTGTGTGTGTGTGTGTGTGTGTGTGTGTGTGTGTGTAATATCTATTCTTTGTGATACCTGTTGGTTTACTAATGGTCACATGGTAGATGGAAAGAAACTTTAATTTAGAGCCAACTGTATCCGCAGCTTTGTTTCAGATTAATTGTTAAATGCGTGGACCTGGAGACTGGAGAGGTGGGTGGCTCACAGGTTAAGAGGATTGATTGTTCTTCCAGAGGACCTGGGTTCAATTCCCAGCACCCACATGGCAGCTCGCAACTGTCTGTAACTCTAGTTCCAGGGGATCTGACACCCTTGCACAGACATACATGGCAGGCAAAACACTAAAGCACATAAAATTAAAAATAAATGAATTATTTTTAAAAATATATTTTTAAAGTGCATGAAAGCCGGGCGGTGGTGGCGCACGCCTTTAATCCCAGCACTCGGGAGGCAGAGCCAGGCGGATCTCTGTGAGTTCGAGGCCAGCCTGGGCTACCAAGTGAGTTCCAGGAAAGGCACAAAGCTACACAGAGAAACCCTGTCTCAAAAAACCAAAAAAAAAAAAAAATAAAAAAAAATAAAGTGCATGAACCTGTTTCCTGTATTACAAAGTAGAAAAATTAAGTAAAATATTCTGAAGTCCTATAACCCACTCTTAAGTTTTAATGCTTCTCCATAACTGATAGTAGTACTTTTTGTTGTTCCCAGTTAACAATTGTGGTATTGTATTTAGTTCTTTAAAAAATATTGTATTTCTGATATTGTGTATTGTATTTAGTTCTTTAAAAAATATTGTATTTTAGATAGTTCTTAAATATATTGATTAGTCTTTCTGTGATTACACTATACATTATTCTAGATTATTTGTAACTACAGAATAGAAGGTGTTTGCTGTTTCTGGAAACAAGTTCTCGATGTGCAGCCCAGATTGGCCTTAAACTCGCTGTCTTACCTACCTGGCCTCAAAATCCTCCTCAGCCATCCAGGTGCTGGGATTACAGCTGTGTCCACCACACTCAGGTTGTAATTTGTATTTCTGTGAGCTTCTGGTGTAAAAAATAGAATGAAAAATATGTAAATGTATATATTTATTTACTAGAATTTTAATTTTTAATATTCAACTTCATAAATAACAAATTTTAACAAGCAAATGAAAATATCCATTACTCTTCCATTTTTATTTATTTTCATTTTCTTTCTCTTTGTTTCCAGGGAAGGAATTGTTAAAGATGTAGAGATTTGGGAATCATCAGGGCAGTGGATGTTTTCTGTTTACTCACCAGTGAAAAAGAAACCTAACATCTCAGGTAACTGGGGAACATGTTTGGTTGGATTGTTGTTTGGTTGGTTTTTGTTCAGTGCTGAGGACTGAACCCAGGCCTTCATACATGCTAGGCAAAGCCCTACCACTAGGCTATGGACCCAGCCCGTACTTGTATATGTATGTGTATATAAAATAGATTCTAAAGTTCTTTCTAAAACTAAGACCATGCTAAATGTATTTACTCCAAACTTAGGAATAGCTAGAATTTGGTCTTTGTTTAAAGTATTCCAACTGAACTTCATCATTCAGAGACTGAGAGTGGAGAATGTAGTTCTTTTCAGTTGTGTTATTTTCAAGAAAGAATAGTAAAATCAGGACCCACCACATCCAATTCAGTCAATTGAGGAAGCAGTTCTGCTGTATCAAAACCGCAGAAGCTCCTAGCTACCTCAGCAACCAGCAGGGTCACAAGCTGCCGCCATTACAGCCTTTGGGGCCTGGTTCCATTATTCTTTAGTCACTTCCAAGAATACTTACTTTTCATAAAGCCTGTAAGACTCTCCTGTTTGAAGATGAGGAACCACAGGGGTGGTGTTCCTTTAGAATGTGATCCCTGCAGCCTCTCTGAAACTTGGGCTACTGAGTTTTTCCAAGCCTGCTCTGGGAGACGCTGAGTCTTTATCGTCTTTCGGAAACAACAGACATGGCACAGGCAGGAGCCCTTGAGGTTAGTGTCCCAGAATTCTAGAAATGCCACTGTACCTCACCCCTCGCCTCGTTCTCACCTAATTACTTTCTTATTCATTTAAATATTAATTACTGAGTTTGATTTGTCTTACTCCCTGATGTGCATGCCAGGGATGCATCATAAGGGGAGCAGGCAGGGTTCCCTCATGTGCATGCCAGGGATGCATCATAAGGGGAGCAGGCAGGGTTCCCTCATGTGCATGCCAGGACGTAACAAACCCTGAACAGTCAGGGTTCCTCTCAGGAAGCTTCTGTTCTGGAGGAAAGAAAATGAGAAACAGTGAAAATAGATCACTTAAGGTAGTGATAGTTTCTGTAAACAAAAGAATAAACTAGGAAGCCCCGGGTTGGCTTAAATATTAGCACTTAAGTATTGCCGAGTATTAAATCTTAATCAGTTCAGGGGTGGACCTAAAGCCTAATGTCCTACAGCTGTGGTTCTTAAAACATAGACTGTAGAGAGTTCTAGGTGGAATTACCATGCTAAATATAGGACATTCAGTTAAATTTAAATTTCAGATAGCAAAGAATATTTTCAATATATGTGTATCCTGTGTAATATCTGGGATATAATTAATAAAATATTTGTTTTATGTCTGAAATTTCAGTTTACCTAGACATCTCAGATTTTTGTTAACTAAATCTAGCATCCTATCCCTGACATGTCTTTAGGAACTATATATGTTCATAAAAGTTTTCCGAATAATACTAAGATACTGATGTCCACTTTCAGTATTGAAATTTGTACTGTCAGTACAAAAGCGTTGTTGAGTAAAACTGACAGATTTAACATCAGATGAGGCAGAAGCAGCAAACTGCTGGTAGACTATAGCAGTCATGTAAAGAAGAATTTGGAATGTCATTCTAACTTTACGAGGGGGGAAAATTATCCCTATCTGATGAAATAAAAATTACTAACTTTTGAAAACTCTTAGCCGTTGAATATGCATTTTAAATATTGTCTCAGACAAAATGGGAGGTACATATAAACCGTGCTTTTGCCCTGTACCCACATATGAAGTTGACTTTGAGGGAGAGCACTTGGGTTATCATGTGACTGCCACAGGCAGACTTTATTAGAAAGAATAACAACTGTGGTTATTCAGACTTAGCCTTGGCAGGTGTTTTCTGAACAGTGAATGAGATAAACCTGTGTCACCTCAAGGGGCAGGGGAGGGGTAGGTGCGTGGCAGGGTTACCGCTGATAATAAAACTGAAAGTTTCTAGGAAAAGTTAGAGTCACGAAAAACCTTTCTGTCACACAGACACAGTAGCTTCTCAATACTCAAAGTCTCTTCTGGAATAGGACACATTAATATGTGAGGATTTTAGGGTTGATTTGGTTTTGTCTTTAGGTGTTCTAGAATGCCGTGTGTCAATGTATGGAAATTCTGTAGGACATCTTAACTAATATTCTTCAAGACTGAAGTGTTATGTTACAGAATCACGCTGACTGAAATCTATTCTGAGTCCAAGATAAACTAATGAATTATAACACAACAACACAAAAAGTTGATTAGCTTTTGAGTTTGCATTATAATTGACCTTTAAAAACCTCCCACTTAGGAAGCATTTCTAGTTTAATTGATTTTTTGCCTGTTTTTTCCTCCATTCTTTCATTTGTTTCCTATTGAATGAATCCAGGTGTGGTCAGTTGAAACCTTAAATTTCATGTTAACCAAGTGGCAATGGTATCATGAAAGGGTGCAGTTCTGTGAGGTGTGCATGAGGAACCAGACAAGTATGTCCATACTACATCACTGGATAGATGTGCGCGTATGTGTTTCTGTTGTATCCAGACATCTTTTCTCAATGTGGAATTTTCTAAATGCAGTTGCTTCTAAAATACATCTGATATGCTTTTCAAATGGCTGAAGTTAAAACAAACAAACAAACAAACAAAAAAACAAACCTCCCACTTATCTGGGCATAGTGGCACACACGTTTAAAAAAAAAAATTTCAGCACTTTGAGAGACAGAGGCAAGCAAGTCTCTGTGAGTTCAAGGCCAGCCTGGTCTACATAGTGAGTTCTAAGACAGCTAGAGCTATGTAGTGAAATCTTGTCTCAAAACAACAACAAAAAAACCCCTTCCACTCCACTTTTCCAGTATTGGTGCATTAAGAATATCCACATTTGTCTGGAAAGGCCATTGACTTCTCTTTCCAGTGACATGTCTGTGGCATGTAGTTCTTGCACAACAACCACACTGCAGTGGAGTGAGTGCAGAAACATGCAGAAGCACATGCAGGAATCCAGTAGTCGGAGCTGGTGAGATGCCATTCTGCATTTAAGAGTGTGTACTGCTCTCGTGGAACATGTGAGTTCAGTTTCCAGCGCCCGTGTTGGCTGGCTCACAACTGTCCTGTAACTGGCTCCAGGACAGAATACAGTGCTGCATTCTGACTTCTACAGATATCTGCATGTACACGTCACTACTCCACAGCAGATGCACATACGTACGCATAATTAAAAATAATATTTTGTTTAGAAAATCTAGCAGTTTGTTAAGCCAGATGTTAATAAGATCTGTAGACAGATTTGTTGTTCATCTTAATAATCTTATTTTTTTGTTTTGGAAAATAAATGTATGTGGATATATACATGGTTCATTATGAAGAGCTAATTTTGCCTCTGTAGCTAGAATATTTCTTTTGTACCATGTCCTTGTTTGCTTTTCTGTTGTTGTGATAAACACCATGACCCTAAAGCAACTTGGAGAAGAAAGGTTTTGTCTGGCTTACAGGTTAATAGTCTATCATTGAGGGAAGCCAGGACAGGAACTAAAGGCAAGTAGAGCTTGTAGCAGAAACCACGGAGAAACACTGTTCACAGGCTTGCTTCCCCCAGCTTGCTCAGCTAACTTTTTCACACAGCCCAGGTCTAACTGCCTAGGGATGGCATATGGTGATATTTTATTTATATTAAAATGTTATTTGTATGTTAATAAATAAAGTTGCCCGGGGGTCAGAGCTATTAGCAAGCCATAGGAAAGCTGGGCAGTGGTGGCGTACGCTTGTAATCCCAGCACTTGGTAGGCAGAGCTAGGTAAGTCTCTGTGTGTTCAGGGATACAGCCAGTATTGGATACACATGCCTTTAATTTCAATACCAATCATAGAAAACCTGGAGGCCTATACAGACAGGCCATGACGAGGCGGTCATGTGGTTGGGTTTACAACCAATGAGAAGGCAGAACAGGAACTCTATGTAAAGACTTTAACACAGGGGTAGCTCTGGTTCGGAGAGGTAGGACCACCGCAGGAGGAAGGGTAAGGTTTTAGCTCTTAGCTCTGACCTCTTGGTTTTCTTCTTTGCATTGGTTCTGTGTTTCTTATTTAATAAGAAGGTTGGTTACATCTACAATGGCATTACCCATATGAGCTGGGCCCTCAGCCCTCATGAATCAATTAGTAATTAAGAAAATGCCCCACAGACATGCTCACAGGCCCATCCTCAACTGAGGCTCTTCCCAAGAGTGTCAAGTTGACACCACCCTTCTAAAACCTGAGAAAATAGTTATTCGAGTAATTTTCTGTGTTCTGTGATTCAGATAAGAAACTCCGGTTGATCACACCTTGAAAGAATACAGAGTAATTAATTGAGATGGACAGTGTTCTTGAAGAAGAGTTGTTGTACATTCTTTCTTTCTTTTTTTTTTTTTTTTTTTTTTTCTTCAAGACAGGGTTTCTCTGTGTAGCTTTGCGCCTTTCCTGGAACTCACTTGGTAGCCCAGGCTGGCCTCGAACTCACAGAGATCCGCCTGGCTCTGCCTCCCGAGTGCTGGGATTAAAGGCGTGCGCCACCACCGCCCGGCTCTGTTGTACATTCTTATGAAACACTGTTAGAGCTAAGCCCTGAGTAAAGAGAAGGTATCTGTTGTAGAAGATTGGGGAAACCATTCCTAGCAATTACAATAGCTAGTGCAAAGGCCTTGAGGTCAGAGCCATGAGCCCAAATCACTGAGGAAAGAAACTCACAGAAACAACATAGCATAAAGCCAGGGCAGTAGCCAAGGTCCACATGGTAGGAGTCTAATTACATTGGGTGTACAGATATGAAGCACTTAAGCAGAAGGATGTAGGCTGATGTAAAAAAGCTCACTCAGTGGTACAGGAGGGAAAATGAGCTATTGGAATCAGGAGCAGGTTGAGAGGCAGGGAGGCAAGTTAGGAAGTGATTGCTGTGATGAATTAGAGCTGTTGGCAGTGGAGACAAAATTGGTCAAATATGAGTTCTGTTTTGAACCAAATTTTGATATTTTAGGTACAGAAAAACAAATCTAGTATGATTCCTAAATCCTTTTTGCCCTGGACTGTTGGTGCCACTGGAGTAAACTAAAGGTAGCTGGGTTCCAAGGAAGTCTGTAGAAAATAGGAACATTTCCTTTCTTAGTCTTCTCAGTGCTGAAAGGTACAGTCATTGCTGTGGACAGTAAAAATTGCTAAGTAGTGTAGAGAAACGGAAACTTTTTTGGTGGTATTTCCTTTAAAATATATGCATATTAAGAGCAGTATCTGATCTTCCAGAGGACCTGGGATCAATTTCTAGCATCCAAATGGCGGCCCACAACTGTCTATAACTCCAGTTCCTGAGGATCTGACACTGGGTACACACGTGGTACACATGTATTCATGCAGGCAAAACATCCGTACTCCACATCGTTTATGTATTTATATATTTCTCTCTATCTGTATAAAGTGATCATCATCCAGTTTTGTTTTCTTTGTGCTTACTTTTTTTCAGCCTGACCCCAAGATCTCATACATGCCAGGCAAACATTCTACCACTGAGCTTTATTTCCTAACCCCTGGTAGTCTACATTTAATTTATCAATGAAAGTACGAGAACAAGCATCCTTTGTGTAGCGTCCTTTGTCTGCATACGTGCATAACTATAGGTATCTGAAGTTAAATCCTAGAATTGTAGGTCAGAGTCTGTGAACATTGCTTATGGACAGTTTGCCCCAGAACATTCCTTAGCATGTTCAGAACAGCATCCATTACTGCACACAGAGTAACAGTAATGATCATCTGTTCTTACGTTTGCCAGTCTGTAAGGAGAGCATTATATCACTAAGTTACATTTGTAAATTTTCTTTTATTTATTAGCCTTTTGAAGTTCTAGTGAATTGCTTGTACTTTCTGTCTTTGCCATATTCTGTACTGACTTATGAATAGTACTTCTGTATTAAAGACATTAACTCTTGTCTATGCAATTGTGGTCTTCCTGATTTATCATTTGCCTTTTAAATCTGTTTATTATAGACTTAACATTTTTTAGACTAGAGTTTGAATGTATATGTAGTCAGATCTTCCATTTTCCTTTCACCCTTTATCTTTACAGAATTCTTCTTCATTCAAAGATGAAATAGCTGTATTTTCTTCTAATTTAATAATTTAAGCATTAGTATCTGGGCTTTGAATTGTTCTCCTCTGACCTTGAAGTTTTTCGGATAACCAGCATTAGCACATTTTCTTGTCTACACGCCAGCCCTACTACCAGAATCAGCAATACCTACTGTTTAAATTCCAACTGATTCCTCACTTCAGGTTTCACAGACATTTCACCAGAAGAGTTGAGGCTTGAATACCATAACTTCTTAACCAGCAATAACTTACAGAGCTATGTAAGTTTGTTTCCTATTCCTCTACCTCAGTAGCACTTGGCTGTCAGTTACTGTTTTTGTGTTTGTGGTGGCTTGCTTGTGTTTGGGCACATTTGGTGAGGGCTGTTAATTTTTTGAAGAACAATGCCTTTTTTATTTTTTTTAGATTCTTTGAAATTGTTTAGTTATCTAAACTGATAATGATGTACTATAGCGATTAGGGATATTATTTTTTATTATAAATTACCCATCAACCAGTCCTAGAACTCAAACCATCTGTCTTTTGAAAAATATTATTGCTTCTGTTAGGTGCAGATCCCATGGTTTTTACTAGAAAAACAAAGTGACATAAACAGCAGTTCTGCTAAATAGATTAACACTTTTGAATATCAGACATTCAAAAGAAAGGTCTGAATGGGTGGGTCAGGAGCATAAGTTGGGTATCTGAAGGAAATGATCGTTTCTGTTGTCTACAGCCAGAGCTATGCTAGTACACATCACTCCCCTCTGTCCAGATGGCATCATTCCTGCACTGCCAGGTGGGCACCCATGAGAGCCAGGGAGTTAGTGAACAGAGAGAGGCAGCTAGAGCTGGGGTAGCTCTGGCAAACAGGCGCAGGGCTAAGTATTCAATACTAAGTTGTTTTTTGTCTTCTCTCTCCAGCTAAATTCTGTTCAACAGCTAGTAAGTCAATGGAGGAATCGGATAAATGAACTGAAAAATCTCAATATGTCAACCAAAGGAACTCTGGTGAGTGTTGAAGAATTTTCTTCAAAGAAGTATCTCATCTATTGCTTTTGTGTTGTTTTGTGAGACAAGAGCTCACTAATTAGACCAGGATGTCCTGCAACTTGCCATGTAGCCCAGGCTGGTCCTGAACTCAGAACCACCTGTCTCAGCCTCCTCCTTGCTGAGAGTATAGACATTCTCCACCATGCCTAGCTTTTTATTGCTTTTGTTTATTTCTTGAGACAGGGTCTCATCTGGCTGACCTGGATCTCAGTGTGTAGACCACATTGGCCTCAAACTCATAGAGATCCCCTCCCCCTACCTCAAGTGCTGGGATTAGAGGTGTGCACTGGTTCTATTACTTTTTTTATTTTTAATTTACTCTTTAATTTTTATTATTTTATGTATATGAATGTTTTGCCTGCATGTGTGTCTGTGCACTACATACGTGCCTGGTCCCATGGAGGTCAGAAGAGGGTGTCAGATCCCCAGAACTGGAGTTACAGACCATTGAGAACTGTCATGTATGTGCTGGGAATCAAACCCAGGTCCTCTTGAAAAACAGTCAGTGCTCTTAACCTCTGAGCCATCTCTCCAGCCCCCCTAGTGCTTTTTGCAGAGAAGCTTCATTTTGAAAGGTAAAATCTCTGTGGAGAACTGACTCTGCGTGTGATCATTTATAGTTAAAGCCCTAGATCTTATTTGTTTCTCAGAAAAGTAAGGACAATATTCTTTTTAAAAACAATTTTAGTTAAACATGGTAGCACACTCTTTTAGTTCCAGCACTAGGGAGACAGAGGCAGGCAGATCTCTGGGAGTTCGATGACAACCTGATCTACACACTGAAGTCCAAGACAGCTAGGTCTGCTTAGAGAGGCCTTGTCTCAAAGTAAATCAATAAAAGTAAAAACTATTTTTAGCATAAGGTTTTTAATGGGGGTAGGACTAACTTTAAAAACTGGGAAATATTACCAATTCAAGTACTTAAAGATGTGTGTATGTTGCCTTGCTGTTGTATAATGCCATTTGAATTTAGTGCGGTTGTTTAGGCGTATTCTGGCCCCAGCTGAGAAGTGACCCCATCACCGTTGATGAGCTCATAGAACAGTAATAACTGAGTCTAAGGAACTGTTTGATCCTCTGGGGTGAATGTTGAAAGGGTCCCTCTGCTGCTGATCTGAGGCAACCCATCTTGGGCTGGCTGAGCACACATCATCATAGTTCATTCTTTTATCATGAGTATGGATAGACTTCAGTTTGTCTAGCCATTTACTTCTTTACCTGTTGGTGACTATTACTCCAAGAAAGAGAAGCAAGGGAAGAACAAAAAACCTGTGTGAATCTGTCTTATGAAACCATGGAAGAGAACACAGCTTGTCTGTAGCGATGAGCAGATGAGCAATTGTGTGGGACCAGAAGTCGAGAAAGGGTTGTTACCTGCCTGGGAAGAGTATAGGAGCTCCGAAGGTTAATAGTAATGTTCTGAATTTTTTTTTTTTTTTTTTTGGTTTTTCGAGACAGGGTTTCTCTGTAGCTTTGCGCCTTTCCTGGAACTCGCTTTGGAGACCAGGCTGGCCTCGAACTCACAGAGATCCGCCTGGCTCTGCCTCCCGAGTGCTGGGATTAAAGGCGTGCGCCACCACCGCCCGGCAATGTTCTGAATTTTGATTGTGCTGGTTATAAGTGTGTCCGGATCCATTAAAATATGTCAAAAATGAAGTGTCTATGTCAGTGGTTCTCAACCTGTGGGTCATGTCCCCTTTGGAGTCAAATGACCCTTTCACAGAGTTGCATATCAGATATCCTGTAGATCAGATATTTACATTACAATTCATAACAGTAGCAAAAGTACAGTTGTGAAGTATAACAACAGAAATAATTCCATGGTTGGGGGTCACCACAACATACATTAAAGGGTCACAGCATTAGGAAGACTGAGAACCACTGCTCTGTGTGAACATGATAAGGTAGTGTAAGATGCTTCCAAGGGGAAGAAGCTCAGTCGGCTTGGTTTGATTAAGAGGGTCTTGGAGCCAGGTGTGGTGGTATACAGCTTTCGTCCCGGCACTTAGGTAGAGACAGCTGGATATCTGTGAGCTCAAGGCCTGGTCTATGTAGTGAGACCCTGTCTCAAAAAAAAAGTCTAGCATCAGTGGCACACGCCTTTAATCCCAGCGCTCGGGAGGCAGAGCCAGGCGGATCTCTGAGTTCGAGGCCAGCCTAGTCTACAAAGCGAGATCCAGGACAGGCACCAAAACTACACAGAGAAACCCTGTCTTGAAAAACCAAAAAAAAAAGTCTTCGAGGGAAGGAGTCAATGAAAGGTTCCTTAAAGGGCATCTGTCCGCAGAATAGGACAGTCAACTGGGTTTTAGTAGTGAACTTTTTATAGCATGTGACCTCACTTGAGTTGAAGCATTTGAGTAGACTGGGCATGCTCTTGACAGCCTTTTGACCTCTATCTAGAGTGCCTCACAGATGGAGGTTTAACTTTATGAACACTGAAGTGTACTTTTTTAAAAATGTAATTTTATTTATTCTTGAAATTTTTACATATGGATACAATGTATCTTGATTTTTAAAAATGCTTTTCTGGTGGTAATATGTATTGTTTTTATAAATTTAACAAGTGCAAAATTAAAATCATTCCTCATCCAGAGATGATAATGGCTCACTTCTATACATTTTTCTATAAAAGTCCATGTTAGTTGGTTGTGCATTCTATAGAGTATTATATACTTTCCTTTCCTTTTCATGAACACATTATGGGCATTTTGTATGCTAGATATTTAAATGCACTTTTGAGTAATCCGTGTTTTAAGTGTAGTGTGTCCAACAGTACATGAGAACTATTCATCAAGTGCTGTATTATTTGTATTTTTTTAAAGCTCTCTGATGTAAAGGATGGAGCCAGTCAAGCAGCGCCTGCATTTGGATTTGGAAGCAAGCAAGCAGGGACGTTTGGGTCATCAGGTAAGAGAGAGTGTGGCATGTTTTGGTGACTCACAAAAGTGGGATTTCAGAGGTTTCAACTTTACAAAGCCTGAATCACCATTTGAAATAATTCTCACCAATTCCTCCATTATGGAGCCTTGAAGAACTTACTTCAACACATGCTTGGGAAAGGCAGGTCGGGGGGGTTGTACTGTGGCTCAGCTTGTAGAAAGAAGTACTTCTGTTTTTGAGACAAGGTCTCACTCTGTAGCCCTGGCCTGGAACTCACTATGTAAACCAGGCTGGCTTCTGATCCTCCTACCTCTACCCTGAGAACTGGGATTACGGATGGAACCACTGTGTCCAGCTCTAGAAGAACTTTTTAGGAATATTTTCTCAGCTTCATAGGGAACTGACATGATGATGATATACATATAGTTCTAGCATTCAGAGGCTGAAGTGAAAAATCAAAGTTCAAGGCCGTGGTTGCTGGTGGCACCCATCTTTAATCCCAGTGCTCAAGAGGCAGAGGCAGGTGGATCTCTGTGAGTTCCAAGACAGCCAGGACTACACAGAGAAACCCTGTCTAACAAAACGAAGTTCAGGGCCAGCCTGGCCTTCCTGACAAGACTCTGCCTCGGAATCTGATAGGAGTCTATCCCTGTGCCTTTGGGGACTTTGTCATCGGACAGGTGTCGTGTAGCATCTCTGGTGGAAAGCATGGCAAGCTGAAAGGGCTCATGGGTGCAGGTGAATCATGGTAGCAGAACTGTCGGGCCCGTGGGGTTCAGAGGGTTTGCTCTAACCTTGTTCTCATTTGCCCCTAAACTCTTCAGTATCTACACGAGTCTGAAATAAGAGAAAGGAGGAACAAGGCTACATTTTCTGACTGTGATCTGTTTTTGTAGGTTTCCCAGTGGATAACAGCAGCAGCAATAGTGTTCAGAACTTTAGTTTTAAAACAAGCTCTGGATTTGCCACTGCCCCTTCTGGAAGCACACCCGTGTTTGGAAATCACCCAGCCTTTGGGACCGGGCCCTCTGCTGGTTCTGCCGTCACTTCCTCCGCTCCAGCCTTTGGATTTGGGAAACCTGAATCCACATCTGCTGCTTCATTTTCGTTCAAGAGCCCTGACGCTTCTGGTTTTGGATCACCTGGGTTTTCAGGGTTTCCATCTTCCGTGGCAGTGAGTCCTTTCGGCCCTGCAATGGCCCCTGCCTTCGGAAGTGGCGGATCTATGGCTGGTTTTGGTAGTTCTGGCTCACAGTCTCACACTGTATTTGCCAAACCTTTTAATGACACGTTTGGAGGTAGCAGCCTATCAGCCTCCCTCCCAGTCTCTGCCACAAATAATGTACTGTTCACCCCCAGGGATCAGCTGACAAAAGAGGAGCTGGAACAGTTTCAGTCCCAGAGATTTACTCTGGGGAAAATCCCACTGAAGCCACCACCCGTGGAGCTTCTGACTATATAAAGGGCGGTGTCCAGTACAGAACGACTTTAGCCAGGCATGTGGAGTGTGCCAGTAGTTTGGGAGGCTGAGAGAAGGAATGCCACAAATTCAGGGCCAGCTTGGACTGCACAGAGTAATAGATCAGCCAGGTCTGTGTGAGACCCTCAAAGAAAAGATCTGAATGGTTTTTCAAGAAATGTTTTCGTAGTGCTTGGGATCACTGGACCCTCACACATGCAGGCAAGTTCTACCTAAGCCACACTCGATCCCGAAATATGGCTTTTAAGATTGTCTTGAATGATATAATAATACAACCCCCCCGACCTGCCTTTCCCAAGCATGTGTTGAAGTAAGTTCTTCGAGGCTCCATAATGGAGGAATTTGTGAGAATTATTTAAAATGGTGATTCAGGCTTTGTAAAATTGAAACTTACAGAATTATACTTTTCTGAGTCAGCAAAACATGCCACATATTCAAGAGTAAACTCTGTTCCTCATATATATATGAGCAATGTAAGGTTTTAATAATTTGAGGGATTTAAAGGTTAACATTTTTTGAAAACCTAGCTAAATAAAGTACAGCCCAAAAACTTAATAAGCAAGGGAAATCTTTTATACTGTAATTATGAATGGAACTAAAAAATACAGGGTACTGAATAATTTTCTCATTCTATTCCAATTTATTACCCATCCCTCTAATAGGGATGTGGAGAGTAGATGCTGGAGATCAAACCCAGGTACAGTGTCTTGTGCGTGTCACTGAGCTACATCCCCCAACTCTGACTTTTTTAAATTATGTGTGGGTGTTTCGTCTGCATGTATGTCTGTGTACCACTTGCATGCCTGATACTCATGGAGGGTGTCAGATTCCCTGGAACTGGAGTTACAGATTGTGAGCCACCATATAGGTACTAGGAATTGAACCCTGGTCCTCTGGAATAACAGTCAGTGCTCCTAACCTCTGGCCCATCTCTCTGGTCCCAACTCCTGCTTTTTAACATGGGAGGAAAAAAAAGAACAAGGAAGGTGCTGAGGAGAGAGCTGAATGGGTAAAGGAATTGCTGCATGTGTGTGAGGACCTGAGTTTGGATACCCAGCAATTAGGGATGGCAGTGCATGAGTCTGTCACCCCAACACTGGAAGGGCAGAGACAGGTGGATGCCCACAACTTGCTGACCAACCTTTCTAGTTGGATCTATGATTTCTAGAAATCCTTTAAAAAACTAAGGGTGGAGAATGACAGGGAAGACACCCAACCCCGACCTTTGGCCACCACACATATCTGTGCACAAACATACACAAGCATATCTCAGACCAAAAAACAAAAGTAAATGTCTTGCCTAATGAAAGATGAGCACTCCAAATATTCATGCATATATACTAAGAATTCAGTTCCCAGAGGATCCAAATTCTGATCCACTTTCAACAGTATGACTCCCATCTAACTGTTCAGGGGCCTTAGCATGTGAAACCAAATCCATACTCAGGATTTGCTTTTACTGTTTGATGTTTAGAACTGCCCTTGGTAATTGGTAAGTAGAATATAAATTGTTCCTCCTTTGATCTATGTGTTCCAACAAAATAGAATCTAAGAATTCTGCCCCATGAACCTTAGGGCCTCAAATGAGACCTACTATAGATAGATGAATGCTTAGTCATTCCTGTTGCCTGGGATATTTATAAAAAAACAGAAATTTATACCTCACGAGCTCCATATATTGGAAATCCAAAGTATAATTTACGTGTCTGCTGAGCACCTGGTCTGTCCTTCCAAGGTGGCAGAGGGAAAAACAGCAAAATGATGAAGGCTGTGTCCTTACACAAGAGTGAACCTGTTCTCTCAAGGCCTTCTGTAAGGGTTCCCAACCCACCATACGGGGTCTGTCCTAACGACTTAGTCACCTAAGGGCCTACCTTAGTACGGTCACCTTGGTGATTAAGTTTCAGCATAGGAATGGGAGGGTATATCTAAGCCTAACAATTGGCCACTGGCTCCCTTAGGTTCCAGGTAGTTCAGTGTCTTCAAGGCTCTAAGGATATACACAGAGGACCCCATTAGTCTCAAGTATGTCAGATCATAATAACATATACCTGCTGGGCATAGTAGTGCTCCTTTGTAATGCTAGAGCTAGGGAGACGCTCCTGTCCTCCAGCCCAGCCTACCTGGTGAACTCCAGGCCAGTAAGCTACCCCATTTAGAAAACAAGGTAGATGACTCCTGAGGAGCAGCACCAGAGGTAGTCCTCTGGTCTCTGCATGCATGTGCATACCCATGCACACACACCTGCACATATGAAAACAACGTGGTGGAATTGCAGATCAGCTGTGACCGGAGAACTGATTAGGAGAGGGTGAGCTGGGCCTCCAGTGAGCTCTATAAGGGCTGATGTACCTCAGTAGTTCTTAGCACACAAGACATCTGGCCATCAAAAAGAAAAAAAAAAAAATACCAATTTAAAAGGCACCCAGGAAGCAAAGGATTGTCTTGAGCTTGAGGTCGTAGTTCAGGGCAGCCTGGCCTCAGAGTAAACTCTTGACTTTAAAAGGCACATGATTTAACTACACACAAGAGTGACAGTCCTGTTTAAAACATCAGTGGCTAATTGTGGTAGTTCATGTATTGGAATATAGCCTTTTCAAGTGACCTATAAGAACAAAATAATTGGTTTTCTATTAACTATCATGTACTGTGTGATCCAGTTTGGAGGATATATATATATATCTCCATCTCGTACATATATATGAGGCGGGACTAGAAGTTAATGCTGGCTCAAGTTTCAGTGTCCTATTACATATCTGGGCTAATTTCATCTTGCCTATGATCTAGGTGCTGTAACCATGATCTGAGTTTTCTAAATGCAAATACCAAGATCTGGAGATGTTAAATGCCATCTAACAAGAGGCTGAACTGGAGCTGACACCTGGCCTTGAACTTTCGCTGTCACCACCCCGTGGTGGCTCCTGAGTTATGAATGCTTCCTCTTTTTGTCAGTGTTTCCTGCACATGCATTGCCTTTGGGACACGCTTCTGCAGTTTTCCCTTAGGAGTGTTCACGTCAGCAGGACACTGTGATTAGTGAAGCCCAGTGGCCTGAGATGCAAGGTGAAGGAAGTGCTCTCAGGAGGTACAGAACTCTTCACTCCCCTCTCAAAGCTCCGTCCTCTTTTCTTGCTCTCAGATGAGGGCCGAGTCCTCCTGCCTGTCCACACAAAGACACTGAAAGAGAGCACGAGAGTGCCAAAGACTCCGTGGAGTCACGGGGGGCAGGGACCTCACACAGCCAGCTGGAGCGTGTGTTTGTTGTGATGCTGGGTGGGGGCCAGTGCTGGACCACTTAACTGCTCCACATCTCAGCAGTGCACCTAAGCAAAGGGACAGTGTGCCTGTGAAGACTGGGTTTGAGGTGAGTCATCTTTATTTTGTCCTTACACCAGCCGGGTGAGATGGAGTGAGCTATCTTCTAAGTCTTATCCATAGAGGCAATAACATCCGTGCCCATGGTTATGGGAAGGTTAAATTTGAAACATATTAATATAAGGTGTCCAGCACAAAAATTTATGCTCCAAATTCCATTAGTGAAGAAAATAACACTGGGTCCTTATAGAGAAGCTGACAGGCAGAAACTCACAGGAAAGTGAAGTCCCCTACCCTCCTGGCTAACGTCTTCAACGTTTCATTTTGTTTTGAGATAAAAATCTCACTGTGTCTCATGCTGGCTTTGAACCTGCAATCCTTGAACCTCCCAAGAGTTGAGGCTGAAGCAGGTGCCACAGTGCCCGGGCAGCCTGACCGGTCTGCTGCACTGTGTTAGTTACTGTTCTGTTGCTGTGAAGAGACACCATGGCCACAGCAACTCAATAAGAAAGCATTTAATTGGGGCTGGCTTGCAGTTTCAGAGGATTAGTCCATTATCAGTATGGCGGAGAGCGTGGCGACAGGCAGGGGTGCTGCTAGAGAAGTAGCTGAGAGCTGCATACATCCTGACCCGTAGGCAGGGGGGGTGGGGGGAAGAGTCTGAGCTTGAGGTTGGCATGGGCTTTTGAAACCTCAGAGTTCATCTACAGTGAAACACTTCCTCCAACAAGGCCACACCTCCTAATCCTTCTAACAGGTCCACTAACTGGGACCCAAGCATTAAAACATCATGAGCCTGCTGAGGGCCGTCTCATTCAAACAACCGTACACACATCACTCCAATGTTACTTCTTATACACAGGCTAATAACTATAATAGTGAGCAATGGTGTCATACTCTTTTGTATCTTCTTATTTGCAAACATCTTGAAGAACATTTCATGTTAGTAACATACAGATATATATGGCTATGGCCCATTGCTGACTGATTTAGCCATACCCCTAGTTATGGGTCGACAATACTAAAGTAGCAGATTCTAGAACATAGGTCCTTACACCATTGTGAGAATAACAAAAAAATGCTGAGTAGGAAATTGTGAATGACCCGTTTTAGTACATCTTAGTAAATGCCCCTGCTTCCCCACAATATAGGCCTTGAAAAAGCAAAGCTGCTTTTACTAGAGCAGAGCAGGTGCCGATGGCTTTACTGTAATTAATATTCAGCGAAAAGAACCATAAGGGTGGAGGGCTTGTTACGGGCTCAGCAGGAATGTCCCCTACAGGCTCCTGTCTTGGAATTCTAGGTCCCAGATGGTGGTGGTGTTGTAGGAGGTTGTGGGAACTTGAGGCAGTAGGGCTAGCTGGAGGAAGTAGTCAGTAGAGGAGGGCCTGAGCTTGTTGACTGCCATGGTGTGGATGGCTCTGTTCTATGGTGCGCTTTCTGCCATGAGCTGAAACCAGGAGCCAAACAGTCCCCTTAAATTGTTTCTCTCGGGTGTCCAGTCAGCTGTGGTGGAAGCAGCTAGTGTAAGGCTTGATTCGCCACGTCTCTTTTAAGGTATAGGGTGTGATCCGCCGTGTTTATTTTTCATTAATTGTTTATTTTTTGACTCAAAGCCTCACTGTAGCTCTCGCTGCCCTGGAACTCATTATGTAGAGGCTGGCCTCAGACTCAGAGATCTGTTTGCCTCTGTCTCCCAAGTGTGCTGGATTCAAAGGAGTGTGCCGCCAAGCCTCCCACCATGTTTCTTTTTAAACTCTTTCAAGGAGTCCCCAGTATGATGGTTAATGTTACTGAAAGACACCTAGAAGCCTGACGGTGGCGCACGCCTTTAATCCCTGTACTTGGGAGGCAGAGGCAGGCAGGTCTCTGTGAGTTCGATGCCAGCCTGGTCTACAGAGTGAGTTCTAGGACAGCCAGAGAAACCGTGTCTCAAAAAAACAAGAAAGAAAGGGAGGAGGGGAGAGAGAGAGGGGGGGAGCGAGAGAGAAAGAGAGAGAGAGAGAGAGAGAGAGAGAGAGAGAGAGAGAGAGAGAGAGAGAGGAGAGAGAGAAGAGAGGAGAGAGAGAGCCCCCTCTGGGTGTGCTTAAGGGCATTTTCAGAGAATAAACTAAGGTGGGGGGGGGTGGGGGGAGTGTGAGGAGAAAGGGAAAAAGGGTGCTTGTGTTCTATGTCTCTGTCTCTCTTTCTCTTCCCCTCTGTCCCCCTTCTCTCCCTCCCTCCTGTCCTCCCTGCTAGCTGCCAAGGTGTGAGCTGCCATACCACTCCCTCCCCACCATGAGAGCTTGAAAACTCTGAAGCTGTGAGCCTGCCTGCCTTTCCTTAAGCTGCTGAAGCTGACACCTCACCAAGGCCCCGGATGAGGACCACTGTAGCCAGCCAGCCCTTCACGGATGCTGCCCTGGGCGCATCAGAGCTAGAGAAGCGCGCTGTCGGAAGCGCTGCGGACAGCATTGCCAGCGCCCTGAGGTTGCCTCTCTGCCCTGCGACCAGTTTTGTAGTGTTTGATACTACAAGCCCAGCACCGGCCCAGAGATGGATTTCACAAGACAGGCCAGGGAAGGGAAACTTCATAGGGAGAAATACCACCTCAGGCGGCTCAGTGGTAGGGAAAGCAGCGGCAGGGCTTGACTTCCAGAACTCCAGCTTTCTAAGTGGCCACAGAGCTTCTGACTCTCCAAAGCTGAGACCCAAATAAGCTGCCACAGGGAGAGGAAAACTCAGGACGGGGAGAAGGGCCACCGGAGGGATTCTGCTATCTCTGGCCTCACGTACCTCTTTGTCCAGGGTAGAGACCACAACCGTCAATACCTGCTCTTTATCCCCTCTGAGACTTTAACTTCGACTCCGCTTCCTCCACACCTAGCCCACCTGCAACCCTCTTGACACAAAGTTCCACCCACAGTCTTGACACCCACCTCCTGTTCCAAACACAGTGCTCACCCGGCCCTACCGCCTCCTCTTTGAGAAACATCCCCATATCCAAACTTGCATGCTGCTAATACCGGTCAGCAGTAGTCCCTCTTTCCAAGCCTTCCACAAAGTGTTCACTCAGGCTGCAGAATCTCCTTCCAGGAAGAGACCGGTGCAGACCTCATTGTCCAGAGCGTACCCTCATTCTGCTTCTTTCAGGGCTACACTTCTCTTAAACACAGTGAAACCACCACCAGAGAAAGTATAGCTCCATCCCCAGCGTGTCCACAGGAGCCCTGCAGCCAACAATCCCTTCTGCAGCCTGGGCAGCTGCTGACCACTTCTGACATAGAGATGGGGCTGCTTTTCCCAGAACTCCAGTGTCAGGACACAACGATCATGGTTTTCACGCCTCCACATGGAGTCACTGGTGTTTTTAATTTTTTATTATGTATGTTTTACCTACCTGTATTTATGTGTCTCACATATGTACATACATTTGTATTTTGCACCACATATGTATGTGTGACGTGTGCTTGGTGCCCATGGAGGTCAGAAGAGGGCATCAGGGACCCCTGGAACTGGAGTTTCAGATGGTTGTGAGCCACCACATGAATACTGGGAATTGATCCTAGCCCCCGTGCAAGGCCAACAAGTGTTCTTAATTGCCGCCCCATCACTCAAACTCCATTTTTAAAATCCTTTATTTTTTGTGTGGGGGTGTTTTGCCTGTGTGTATGGCCGTGCAGTATGTGCATACAGTGCCGTTGGAGACTAGAAGGCATCAGATCCAGGGGACTGGAGGTGCAGATAGTTATGAGCTACCATGTGATTATTGGGGGTTGGACATGGGTCCTCAGGAAGAGCTGATCCATAGCTCCAGCCCCTGGAGTAGCTGTTTTAAAGGTCACCGATGTTCCTCTGTTAACGGCTTGCTATTTTTTCCTTTGGTTGTACATTTTATGGATTGACTACACTTTTATTTAGCTACTCATTTTTGGATAGACAATGGATTGTTTCCAAGTTTACGCATGTTTTTTTATTTTTTTTATCTTATGTGTATGAGTGTTCTTTCTGCATGTATGGATATGCACCTTGTGCATGCCTCATGGCCTCAGAAGTCAGAAGAGGGGATCATGTCCCTTGGTACTAGAGTTGTGGATGGTTGTGAGCCACCATGTGAGTGCTGGGGACCCATCCTCTGCAAGAGAAACCAGTGCTGTCAGCCTCTAAGCCGTCTCCCCAGCCCCGGGTTTCAGCATTTTCTAATACACACATACAGACATCAGTGTGAGAAGGAACCCCCTCTTCACGGCAGCTCCTGTGTTCTCCCCGGTCCCTTCAGTGCCCTCCTGGTTCTTCTCTCCTTTTGCCCTCACTATGACCCCCTCTGACTGCTTCCCACTTAGACGTGGATCTCAGTGTGAAAGACCCCACTTATAGCAAGCTTTTACTTAGCCTAAGAAATGCCATTCTGCAAGGCAGGGAAAACAGAGAGTTCATGACTGTGGCTGGCCACCTGGCCTTGGTAAAGAGAGCTGTGGTCAGCCACCCAGCCTTGGGAGAAAAACCGTTGAGTCAAAATAAGACATCTGTGGTTAGCTACCCGACCTTGGGGAGTAAACAGTTGGGCTGGGAAAACACCCACAAGGCCAAGTCAGACACACACATCAAATTCCCGAGAAGTTTAAGAGTTCACCCTGACCTTAATTGAATCCACCAATGGGAACCCTGTAACTATGCCTCTCGCTTCTGTAACCACGCTTCTGCACCTGGAAGCCTTTAAAAAGTCCCCCTTACCCTAGGAGGGCGCACAAGTCTTCCGAGAGACTTTGTCGCTCAGGTACCTGTATAATAAACCCTCTTGCTGTTTGCATCTGATCCGTGGTTTCGGCGTGTTCCCTGGGGTTGGGGTCTCTCCTGAGGGAAGATCTCCTCAGGGGGTCTTTCAAGTGCTGGGGCTGGGGACCAGTGGTCTTGCAGCTTTATAGGATGTGACTTTGGAAAATGCCACTGGAACATTTGCTAAGATGGTGCCAGTCCTAGAATTTGGCTGTGGCTGTGGCTAGGAGTTGTTTTGAAACTCCACCTGGTTGAGAGGCCAGAACCGAGTGACCATAGAGCATCCTTGGGGAGGGGAGGGGGCACACACCAAGAGAGGCAGTCCAAGTTTCTCTACACATGTGTGTGTCTTTTACATTCATGATATTGATATGTTTGAGCATTTATATAATGTCTGACCTATCCCCTCCCCTGAATGCTCAATGGTCAGCCTCCTGGGCATCCCTACTATATCTGACCACAACCTGGCAAAAATCCTGGCCTAGGGAGATAATTAATTTGTTGGCTGAGAGTTCCCATTGAAAGTGGCTTTTCCTTGCTCTTAAGGAATAACCATCAATCACGTAGACTGTGTGGGATTCAGACAATAAAACAATCAACCCTAGACAAATATGACTGCATCTAAAAGATGGGGAAAGAAACATGTCTTTATTAGAAGAAATAACCCAAATGCTAGCACCATAAGAACAAAACTACGCAGCCCTGGTCTGGTGACCGTCAGCTTCTTTGCCAAACTAAGAACGTGCTGCCCTAGCCCTAAACACATGCTGAGAATTCACGCTGCTGGTGTGCAGTGTGGCTTCTCTTGAATTGCCATTGTTGCAGTATTTAATCCACATGCAATGAAACGCGCCTCTTTCTAGTGGGCTCTGTACATTCTGACAACTGCACAGGCCTGTGTGAACACCACACACAAGAAAGAGAACGGTGCCTTCACCTCAGAAAGCTCTCTCTCACCCTTTGCCAGCAGCCCCCAGTGTTCGTGCAGAACTGGCCTGCCTCACGCTGTTGATCTGTTGCTTGTGGAGAAGCCCTCTTTTCCTGTCCGCCTTCTTTCCCTCAGTGTACACTCAGGATTCGTACCCTCAGTCTGCGTTTGTGTTGCCGAGTAGTATTCCTATATTTGGATAGCACAGTTTCACCCATTCATTCATTTGCTGACACACTCTTCCTACTTTTTTGAGTGTGTGAGGGAGAGTGCATGTTCATGTATGTTGCAAGTGCACATGTGTGCTTGGGTGTGTGGGTGGAGACCAGCATCTCAAGTGTTGTCCTCAGTAAACCTGTCTACCTCCTTTGAGACAAGGTATTGTCCTCCAATAAAGGACTGTGCTCCAAGGCCAACTGCAGCCATCTTCAAAGTTCAGCTGAGCCTGCTCACCAAAGATCGCTTCAGCTGGGCTTGTTGACCTTTGACCTTTCCTCCTGGTGGGGAGGGTCATGGGACCCTCACCTGAGTATCTAACCACTCCTCCCAACCAGTTGGATGCAAGTCTTCCCTAATTGCAGGTAGCCTCAGGTTCTCTGGGAAGGGATAGATGTTAGAGGTGGGGAAGGGGTTCCGCTCATGCAGCCATGAGGAAGCCGTCGTGTCTGCACCCAGCAGACCTTCCAGGGTGACTAAAGTCACCCATTCTCCCGAGTGTCAACCCCTCACCCATTGCTGTTAGTAAGCCTAATAAACAGTGGTTCCCCTTTCTCCATGAACTATGGTGTTGGAACCTTGGGAGAGAGGTAAGTATGGTTTGCCAAGGGAAAGATTTTGGCAACACAAAGTCTCTCATTGGCCTGAAGCTCAGTGTGTAGGCTGGAGAGCCCAAAGAGCCTCAGGGAGCCTTCTGTTACTACCTCCTCAGCACTGGGGTTCCAGCAAGCCTGGCATTTCCCCATGAGTTATGGAGCTTGAACTTAAAAGTCCTTGTACTTTCGAGGAAAACACTTCTCCCCACCAAGCTATCTCCCCAGGCCTCTGTGAACATGTCTGTAGGTCTGCTGTGAAGATGTCCTCTTCTCCCCAGTAAACTCTCAGAAGTCAGGTGACTGTGACCAGTCCATTCTCACCAGGGCTGTTCATGAGATGCTTTTCAATGAACACATTAACTGTACAAAATAATGGGGGATCATTGTGATGTCTCCATGCAGCATGCACCCCATCAAATCCAGCCATTTCTTGCACCCCACACTTATGTTACATCACTTAGCCAAATACAAGACATGGTTCAAAGTGTATCTCAGATAACAATGAACAGTTTTTAGTTTAAGTTCTGTCCAATATTCAGGGCACTTTTAACCTAGCAAAGTATTTGTCTTTTATCTGAAATTCACTTTTGACTGCCCACCCTGCATTTTTCCCCTGGCAATTATATTTTAATTGTTCCAACAAAATCAAGTTTGATTGGACCTAGCTCTCTGCATATTTATTTAATAATATAGGTCTATAGTAATGATTGTATTCTTATTTTTGTTTCTATTTTATTCTTGTGTGTGTGTGTATGTGTGTGTGTGTGTGCGCGCGCTTCTCTGTATGTGCACCATGAGTGTGCAGTGCCCAAGGAGGCCAGAAGAGAGCATCAGATCTCCTGTAACTGGAGTTACAGGAGGTTCTGAGCTGCCCATTGTGAGTGCTGGGAACTAAACCCAGGTCATCTGCATGAGCGTGAGTGCTTTTTAACATACCTCTCCAGCCCATGCAATAATGATTTTAAACAATACAGACAAGTACATAATTAAAAGGGAGAGCTCTTGGCATTGTAGTTCAACAACTTTATGAACATATTACAAGCCATTTACTGGACATTATCCACCTCAAAATGACCTGGAGCACAAGAGACAGAAGGAAATGGTGTCCTTCTCCAGAGAAGCCTTAGAAGCCTCTTCATCCGCTGGCCTTCAGCAAAAGTGCGGAGACCAAAAGCTCCTACCTGCTTTCCGAGAGTGTGCTTTTCCAGTGAGAATATAGAAGGATATCACAGACATGTTATTAAAGATCAAAAGCAATGGCAATAATATCATGAATGCTTCGAAACTGACAGCTCACTTGGAGCCTGGGGTGCCCAGAACTACGTTGGGGCATGTGTAAGCTTTGAACCAAGCATTGGGCAAGAGAGAAACCAGAGGGGTTTTCTTTCCACATAGACACTGTTGAGAGCCAAGATGGGAGACAGAAGAGCAAAGGCCGTGTTTGGGTTAGTAAGAAGGCATCCTGCTCACACAAGGAGTGGCCCAGTGAGCTGCTGTGGCATCAGCAGACCATGGCAGGTGGGCAAGCATGCCCCAACATGAGGTGTGGGGTCCTGTTGTGTAGGCAGGTAATGGGGAACCATGGCATGGTCTCGGGTGTGGACAGCTTCTCAGTTTGGGTATGTTGCAAGGGAGAGGCCAGGCAATAGATAGGTAAGAGCAGGGTAGCTGTCATGAGGACCCAGGCTCCTGGGCAGCTACTGGCACAATCAGAGACCGTCTAACTGGAAGTGACCTGCATTCCCTTGCCAGTGACCTGCACGCTACTCTGCAAAGGACTGTTCTCAGCTGGGAACACAACCAACCTCTCTCAGTTGGCATCCAGTTGCCACAGAGAGTCTGAGTCCTTACTTCCCTGTTTAAATGGTTATTCCCCCATGGCCAAAGACACCCCCCACGTGGTTTCCTTTTATTGCTTCCCACTTCATTCTTGGAGGGAGGGCAGACAAAAACCTCATCAAAGACAGGAGACGGTTCAGTAAAAGTGGGGCCATTCAAAAAGAGGCCATTGCCAGCTCGTAGGAAGCACTCTGGTTCTTCCAATGAATGGCATCTGTAGGGGCTTCCCTCAACCTGTCTCCATTTGGGCCTTGCAAGAAGCCCTTGAGTGAAGCCCTCACCCGGCACAGGCCGGTGCCTTCCTGCTGACTTTACTAAATCCAACATAATGATCTACCTGGGATATAATATAATGATAGAATATAATATGATATAATATAATATAATAATCTACGGCTGCCGAGTGTCCCATCCCACTGTATGAACCCAGCATAATTTAACCTCTCCCTTTTTTTTTTTTTTCAAATAGTAGGGAGGCTTTGTAGCAATTTACAAACAGAATTTCAGAGTGCGCGTTTTTGGACCACACTCAGACACACTCAGTTCTTCCTTCACTGGCCTCATCAAGCGCATGACTGCTGAGTTGTGATTTTTTGCATTTTTAAGGAACTGTGTCACACCACCCACCATCATGTCACACTGTTGGGTTCCTGTGACCACTGTGCAGAAGGGGAGAGAGCCAGAGGCTGCAGCTTCTGGACCGATTTTCTCTTCACTGTCTTCTGCTCCGTAGATGTAATCCCGTGTTAACATGAGGCAGCTTGATGTGTCCTCCAAATCAAAACACAAAACTCCGCATTTCTCAGAAAGCTCCACTGGCCTTGTAATTCATCTTGGTCACCTGAGGTAGGGTCCCCCTCTCCTAGTCAATTCTGCTTCAGCCACAGTTCCACCATGACAGTTCACAAAGTTTGTCATTGGTGGTGGTCATGGGTTTTTGTTTTGTGAGCCAAGGTCTCACCACCAGGCTGATCTGGAACTCGGGGTCGCCTGCCTCAGTTTCCAAAGCGCTGAAACTTCATGCTTGGGCCACTGCACTCAGTCCTTCACAAGATACTGTGGCAAAAAGAAAGAAAAGAAGGAAGGAGGGAAACTTGAAGTGTCTGATTTTCTTTCCTCTTTGCTGTTTCCTGAGGACTGCCTACGACCCAAGCTAGGATAGCCTTGCCTTACCATTTCCCCACCTCAGGTCTTGCAGGAAGACCCTCCGTGAAGCCCTCCCACGGCGCAGGCCGGTGCCTTTCAGCTGACCTGACTAAATCCAATATAATTCATGATCTACCTCAATCTTTTTAACGGCTGCAGAGTGTCCCACCCCACCATATGAACCTTTTGTAATTTAGCCTCTCTTTCTTTGATGGGGCTGGGGGAGGGCTTTGGTGACCTTCTAATGTCTGTCCCCAAAGAGCCAAGATCTAGTCCCCGGTCCAGACCCTGGCTTCTCAGCTTTGTCCTAGTGC